TCTCCCATGGGGTGCAGGGCCCAAGCACCTGGGCCATCCTCCACTGCACTCCCTGGCCATAGCAGAGAGCTGGCCTGGAAGAGGGGCAACCGGGACAGAATCCGGCGCCCCGACCGGGACTAGAACCCGGTGTGCCGGCGCCGCAAGGTGGAGGATTAGCCTATTGAGCCACGGCGCCGGCTAGAATTCACCTGAAATTTAAAACTAGCTGCCTGTATTCTGTCTGACACCCCCTGGCACACTGTAGCATTGACAATAAACATTAACTGATATTATTATTGCCAGGGAGATTTACTTATTTAAAATTCATTTGAAAGGCAGAGCGACAGAGAGAGACAGTGATCTTCTATCGGCTGGTGCACTACCCAGATGGCTGCAGCAGCCAGGAGCTCCGTCCCATCCTCTACATGGGTGCCAGGCCCGACCACCTGCACCGTCTTCCTCTGCCTTCTTGGGCACCTTAGTAGGGAGCTCGAGCAGAAATGGAGCTGCCGGGACTCTAACTGGCCCTCCAGTTAACTGGGCCAGTTACGGGGTGCCAGTTGTCCCAGTCTGGGGGATACCTGTGTCACAGGCCGCCGCCTACCATGCTGAGCCGCAGCCTCGGCCCGCCCCAGGAAGATTTATTTTCAAGCCACGGTGCTTAGGGCAGAGGACTCACTTCCTGCCAAGCACAGCCTGGGTCAGAGGACAAGCTCGGGTTTTACGAGAGTCCTGGCAGGACTGCGGGCTGGGCAGCTGGCGGCCGAACAGCTCCGGGCTCCTTCAAAGCCAAGCTCACTACCAACTCCAAGCCCTCTCCCGGGTCTCCGGCCTCGCTGGTCTCCACCTTCTTGGGGGGAGGCATCCATGTCCACCCCCCAGGTCTCCTCCAGTCCAGAGGTGGGCGAGCAGCAGGTGCGCATCCAGGGCTGGCGAACTTCAGGTCCCAAGCGCCAAGTACAGAGAAGCGGGATAGGCACCCCGCTTTTATTTCTAAAACCAGGTCCTGGCCGTCACTTTAGTCAGGTGGCCCCGGGTCCCTCGGGGCCTCGCTCCAGAACGCGTCACTGTCCCCTCCTGGCCTGTTCCGCGCTCTCGGTCAGGGTCACGACGGCGCCCGGCGCTACCTTTTGTGGGAATGAACGACTGAACGGCGACTCCGGGGACGTGGGGACCCCCCCACCGCGCTGACCCCCGGTCGGCCCGCAGGACTGCGCATCCTCACTTCGCGGGGGCGGGGGCACCCGGCTCTCCTCCCAGGCGGCTCCGCGCCGGCCGCGCGCTGCGCCATTGGCTGCGCCGCTCACGTGACGCCGGCCTGGCGGGCGGCGGTTGCCCGGGTGACGGCAGGCTAGGCGGCTGCCGGGCGGGGTCGCGCAGATCCCAGCGGCTGGGCGGCGAGGTAAGCTGGTGTCCTGGGGGGGCTGGGGGGTCTGGGGGGGCCGGGCCCGGGAGCCCGACGTCCCGCTGACCGGAGGGACCCGAGGCTCCCGCTGGCCCTCGCCCTGGGGCGGCTCCGCTGCTCGCGTGCTGGACGTCAGCTCTGACTCCCGCGAGGACCCGCGGCGGCCGCCTGGGCATCCCAGGGGCAGGCCCGGCTGCTCCCCGCGGGTCCTCCAGAGCTCCGCTGCAGGTGGCCCGACTTGAAGGAGGCCAGCGGCTGCCTCAGTGTCCATCAGCTGCCCAGGCGTCCCCGTGATCTGTGCACAGGCGGGGTGCAAGCCCCGCAGCCGTCCCCTGTCCGGCCACCCGGAGGCCTCTCGCCCGGCTAGTGTACCCGCGAGGGAGCTGCCATTGCCAGCCTCCAGCGGGGCTGACCAGGTTTCTCGCGTGTCTGCGTGCACAGGTGTGGCGGCATCAGTGAGACCGGCATCCCAGGTGGCTGCGGTGCGGGGTCCGACTGTGCCGGTGGTGAAAGGCAGTTGGCGCCCTGCCGCCCGGCACCTGCTGTGGGGGGCTGGAAGAGGAGAATGCAAGTGCCGGGTGCCTCTCGGGTTTGCCGGGAAGATTACGGACCGCATTCTGCACGTGCAGCAAGGCCCCGAGGACACCACACCCATTATGATACAAAGAGAAAATGCTGTAATTGCTAAGACTTCCCGGGGAATAGAGTACCCGATGGTGCCACATACTCAGGGACAGTTGGTCACAGCAGAATCCAGACTGCTCACAGGGGACTTCTCGAAGAAAGAGACATTTATTTATTAGGCGTGGGGGTGGCTGGGTAAAGAAAGGGCGGGAGAGTGTTCCAGGCAGCGACAGCGGTGCGCGCAGTGGTCCCGAGGTTGGAAGGGGCTCAGGTCCTTAAAAACAAAGTGTTTTCCTTTGACCTGTTATTGCAGGGCTTCAAAAAAATTTCTGTTCTCTCCGTTTGGGCTTTATTTCTTCTCCTGATGTCTTGGGTGCCAGTGTTGCCGACCAGACCCTCTGCTAGGTTCTGGGGACACAAAATGGAAACACAGCCCTCTGTCTCTGCAAGCAGGGTTGTAACTAAAGCAGTGGAAGCAGACGTAGGGTGCAGAGGTCCCCAGGGGAGACGGAATGGCCTTGGGGAGGATCCTGGAGGGCTTCCTGAGGGAGGTGAGGTGTGCACTAAGTTTGGTTTGAATGCTGGGGAGGTGGGGAGAGCTGAGAACCTGAGGGGCGGGGGGCAGGCCTGCTGGGAGGGGTCTGGGCTGGTGGTTGGTGCGGAGACAGGCCGGCCAGGTGGGTGTTCTCACAGCAGCTGTCCGTCCCTTGCTTGTGTGATGTCCATCGCATCTGAAGCAGTGTGCGCTCCTCCGCGTGCCAGGCCCCAGGCCAGGCACTGGGAGCGCCAGGGAACAGGGGTCCTCGCTGGAGTCCGCCTCCTGGCATGGGGAGCCCCGGCCGGGGGGGGGGGGTGTGGGGCAGACACATGACCCAAGGGGCGTTTACACCTGCTGGTGGTCTCCGCAGCCCAGGGCTCGGGGCGGGCAGGGCCAGTCTCCCCTGGGAGGTGGCTTCAGGATGTGGGTGACTGCAGGTTCAGCGGAGGTGCCAGCGATGTCTAGCAATGTCCACTGTTGTGGCCAGTGCGGCTCGGTCTCTAGAACAGGCGGCAGAGTGAGGACCCCAAGCTGTGCTGGGCTCTGAGAAACTGGGCTTCTGATCCTCACCTGGGAGGTGATGGCGCAGCAGGGGGCCCCTGCAGCGGGAGAGGGGCAGTCCCTGAGAAGCAGGGAGCACTGACGCGGAGGGGGGCCCCTGCAGCGGGGGTAGGGGCAGCCCCTGAGAATGCGGGGAGCACTGACGCGGAGGGGGCCCCTGCAGCGGGGGAGGGGCAGCCCCTGAGAATGCGGGGAGCACTGACGCGGAGGGGGCCCCTGCAGCGGGGGAGGGGCAGTCCCTGAGAATGCGGGGAGCACTGACGCGGAGGGGGCCCCTGCAGTGGGGGAGGGGCAGCCCCTGAGAATGCGGGGAGCACTGACGCGGAGGGGGGCCCCTGCAGCGGGGAGGGGCAGTCCCTGAGAATGCGGGAGCACTGACACGGAGGGGGGCCCCTGCAGCGGGGGAGGGGCAGCCCCTGAGAATGCGGGGAGCACTGACGCGGAGGGGGCCCCTGCAGCGGGGGGAGGGGCAGCCCCTGAGAATGCGGGGAGCACTGACGCGGAGGGGGCCCCTGCAGCGGGGGGAGGGGCAGTCCCTGAGAATGCGGGGAGCACTGACGCGAGGTTGGCCCCTGCAGTGGGGGAGGGTCAGTCCCTGAGAATGAGGGGGGCCCCTGCAGCGGGGGAGGGGCAGTCCCTGAGAATGCGGGGAGCACTGACGCGGAGGGGGGCCCTGCAGCGGGGAGGGGCAGCCCCCGAGAATGCGGGGAGCACTGACGCAGAGGTGGGCAGATCCTGCCCCAGGGCCGCTGGACGAGAGACAGAGGGAGCGCATGGCAGGAAGTTACCAGTTTTTTCAGAAGTTTATTTTCTGGGGCTGATGTTATGTCACACATGAGTGCGGGTTCAGGTCCCAGCTGCTCCTCTTCCCATCCAGCTCCCTGCTAATGCACCTGGGAAAACAACAGAAGATGGCACAAGTGCTAGGACCCCGGCACCCACGTGGCAGACTGGATGGAGTTCCTGGCCCAGTCCTGGCTGTTGTGGCTGCTTGGGGGAGTGAACCCGCAGATGGGAGATCTCTCTCTCTCTCTCTCCCTCTCTCTCCTTCTCTCCCTCCCCTGTGTGTGTTTCTCCGTCTTTTTTTCTCTCCCTCCCCATCTCTGTCTCTCTTTCACTCTGTAACTCTGCCTTTCAAATAAATAAAATCTTTCTAAAAAGTTGATTTTCATTTTTATCTGAAAGCTGAGTGACGGCGTGATATATCCGTCTTCCATCTGCTGGTTTCCTCCTCAAATGCCTGCAGCAGCCAGGACTGGGCCAGGCTGAAGCCGGGAGCCAGGTTCTCAGTCTGGAAGGGCCCTAAGTGCCGGAGCCATCGCCCGCTACCTCCCAGGCTGCGTGCTAGAAGCAGTGCCAGGCCCCGGACGTGGGATGTGGGCGTGCCGCACAGCCTGTAACCTGCCAGGATTCCTAAGATTAACTGCTGAATGAACCCCAGGCTAATCTGAATCAAACGTAGGGCAGGAGGCTGTGAGGCTGCAGCCTCGTGTGTTCTGAGAGCCAGGGGAGAAGCTGACCGGTTCTCTGTTTTGTCAGTGAAACCAGGCCCTCCGTGTCGGCGGCGTGCCTCGGCTCAGGGCCGGAGAAGAACGGTGTGGCTCCTTAGCCTCTGCACGTTTTCATGCCCCTGGTGCTGGGGGCAGCCGCGCAGTGGCCGCTCTGGGCGCCCCGGGGCGGGGCAGGCGGGGAGAGCAGCGAGGTTTGCTCTTGGCGTGGGCTGTTGCCTTGCCCAGTGCTGCTGTAATGACTTGCTGTGGACTCAGTGGCTCCGAGCGGGGCCCCCACCCCCACCCCGTTTATTCTGTTCTGGGGTGGAGGGCGGAAGTTGGAACAGGGTCTCCCTGGGCTAGCAGCGCGGTGTCGCCTGGGCGCCCTGGGGGAGACTCTGTGGTTCCCTACCTTTTCTAGTGTCTGGTGCTGCCCGCCACCCTCGGCTCATGCTCCTTTCTCCATCTCCAGAGCCTGCAGTGGCCGGGAGTGCTTGTCACGTCCCGCCCGTCTCCTGCCGCCCCCCAGGATTAGCAGGCCGCCGGATGATCCAGGCCGGGGTCCGTGTTGGAGGTCAGCGGCTGGATCAGGACACGGGCCTCGCCGGGGGCTGGTACCTGCCCCCACGACAGCCGCGGTGACTCCCAGGAGTTTGGAACTGAAACTTTTGCCTGGTGTTTTTGTCTCGTAGAGACTGTGCCGTGAGACGTGCCGGGACCGGTCTACCATGGGCGATATTCTGGCTCACGAGTCGGAATTACTCGGCATAGTGAAAGAGGTGAGTGTGCTGTGCCAGATGACGTCACCGGAGAGACCCCAGGGCTTGGCTTCCGCCCGCAGCCAGTCCTCCGTGCCCTGTGCTGTGTCTCTTTCTCTGTTACACTGGGGCTGCCGTCTCTCTTCCGTGCGTTTTATATTTTGTTTTTATAACTAAGCTGAAATCTTTTTTTTTTAAGATTTATTTATTTGTTTGAAAGAGTTGAAGGAGAGGCAGAGAGGTCTTCCACCCGCTGGTTCACTCCCCGACTGGCCACAGTAGCCGGAGCTGCACCGATCTGAAGCCAGGAGCCAGCAGCTTCTTCAGGTCTCCCACGTGGGTGTCGTCTTCCAAGCACGTGGGCCATCTGCTGCTGCTTCCAGGGAGCTGGATGGGAAGTGGAGCAGCTGGAACTCGAACCGACACCCATATGGGATGCCGGCATCGCAGGCAGCAGCTTTACCCAATAGCCACAATGCTGGCCCCACTTAAAACTTTTATTTATCTATTTATTTAGATTTATATTATTTATTTGGAGGAGTTACAGAGAGAGAGAAAGAGGAAGAGAAAGAGGTCTTCTGTCCACTGGTTCACTCCCCAGATGGCTGCAACGGCTGAAGCTGTGCCGATCTGAACCAGGAGCCAGGAGCTTCTTCCGGGTCTCCCTTGAGGAAGCAGGTGCCCAAGGACTTGGGCCATCTTCTGCTGCTTTCCCAGGCCATAGCAGTGAGCTGGATCTGAAGTGGAGCAGCTGAGACGAACCTGTGCCAATATGGGATGCCAGCGGGTGGCAGCTTTACCCACTACACCACAAAGTTAGTCCTTACCGAAAGCTTTTAGAGTGGGACCCACGCCTTGGGCTGCTGGCACGAAGCGGTGGCTGGTTTACCATGTGATTGAACTGTTGGGCCTCCAGAGACATGGCAGCAGAGTGGGGCTGGGGCATTTGTGGGTATGCTGGTGAATGAATTCCTAAAGCTGTCACAGCCGAGGGTTGTGGGCTGGGCCTGGGGACACGGCCACAGCCACAGAACAGGCAGGCAGAGAGAGGTGCGACCAGCGTGGGCTGAGAAGGAGGGCAGAGAAAGGCGACCCGTGTAGCGCACGCGTTTCCAGAGGCGGGTGGTGGTGATGCCCCGTCAGAAGGGAGCTGGCAACACTGACTGTGGTTATCTATTTTTGTTTTTTAAGTTTTATTTTCCAGAGGCAGAGAGAGATACACAGAGCTTCCCACTGCTGATTCACTCCTGAAATGTACATTACAGCTGGGGCCAGGGCCAGAGCTGTGACTGAACCCAGGCACTCCAGCAGGGCACGTGGGCATCGTCACCTCTGGGTTAAGCACCCGCTCCCTGCTCCTCTGTTACTTGCTGCTCCTCCGCACGCGGAGGAGCCGCACCGGACCGGACACTTGTTGTTCCCCTTTTTTACAAGTCTTTTCTATAGTAAAGTAAGAATAAGTAAACAGCGAACTCCCAAAGCAAGAATGAGTAGAGAGAAATGAGAAAGAACGAAGCAACGAACTTCCCCGCGAACTCTCCAACCAACCCACACCACCATGCCGTCTCTCTCCTCCTATATAGTCCTCTCCACCAATCCGTGCTCTGCTACCCACACGCTGAGCACGCTGCTCTCCTCCAATCAGGAGCAGCTCCTGCAGCTTGTCAAGTTGGTGAGAGGCAGCTGGGTAGAAGCTGTTTGCTCCTCTCCCAGCGCCATATTGTGGGAGAGCAGATGCATAGAATAAGTCTTAATTCCAGTAACAGTCTAGTCCGAGTTGCTCCCCACAGTTACTGAGCTGTCTTTTCCTGGTGGCAGTGGTCGGTGCTATTTCTGACTCTGTGCCAGGTGGCGAATCCCCAGGGACCAGGCAGGCCCAAAGCCATCAGGCCTTGTGCCGGTCACTCTTGCCTTTTTCAGACTTCTACTCACAGCATTTTATTTTCTGTTATTTTCTTTTTTAAGATGTATTTATTTATTTGAAAGCATGAATCATAGAAAGAGGGAGAGACAGAGGTCTTCCAGCTGCTGGTTCCCTCCCCTGATGGCCACAGTAGCTGGAGCTGGGCCAGGCTGAAGCCGGGAGCCAGGAGCTTCATCAGTGTCTCCCGCATGGGTAGCAGGGGCCCAGACACTCAGGCCATTAGTAGGGAACTGGATCTGGTGCCAGCATGGCAGGCGGTGGCTTTACCCACGATGCCGTAACACTGGCCCCATCTGTAATTTCTGCACTGACTAGTAAATTCATAGCAGGATCCTAAATTACTCCTCCCCAAAATGAAGTTCACTAACCTCATCATAAATTGGTGATAATATTTAGCTGGTACAGTTGTATCAAAGAAAGTATGTGTAGATGTTATAGCAGAAAAGTGTCTATATGTTTCCATTCCTTTTGTTTAGTTATAATTGAACAAAAATATATTCATTAAAGATGTAGAACTTGATGTATTGATATATGTGTATATTGTAAAATGATCACCACAGTCAAACTAATCCAAACAGAGATCTTCCATCTGCTGGTACATCCCCAAAGGCCCACAGTGGCTAGCACTAGGCCAGGCAGAAGCCAGGAATCCAGAGCTTAGTCTGATTTTGGTTGTCCCATGTGGATGACAGGGACCCAACAGCCAGGGTGCACATCAGCAGGAAGCTGGACTGGAAGCTGGGAGCAGGGACTGTGTGTGACAGGGCACTGATACAGGACATGGGAGGGTAGGAGCAGGGACTGTGTGTGACAGGGCACTGATACAGGACATGGGAGGGTAGGAGCAGGGACTGTGTGTGACAGGGCACTGATATAGGACATGGGAGGGTAGGAGGATGGACTGTGTGTGACACGGCACTCTGATACACTATACAGAGGGTAGGAGGATGGACTGTGTGTGACACGGCACTCTGATACACTATACAGAGGGTAGGAGGATGGACTGTGTGTGACAGGGCACTCTGATATGGACACGGAGGGTAGGAGGATGGACTGTGTGACAGGGCACTCTGATACACTATACAGAGGGTAGGAGGATGGACTGTGTGTGACAGGGCACTCTGATACACTATACAGAGGGTAGGAGGATGGACTGTGTGTGACACGGCACTCTGTGGCAGGACCCGGGAGCACCAGTCAACTCCTGTAGCAGACACAGCCACAATATAAACACACCTTTCAATCCCATTGTCTACAAACTTTCTGCAATACTTCACACATACCCCCTGCATTTTTTTTTTTTTTATTAATTTGTTGACAGACATTTAGATCGCTTCCATGCATTGGATGTCGTGAGCAATGCTTTGGTGAACATGGGAGTACAGGGAAGCTTTGAAACATGGACTTTATTTCCTGCTCATCCCAGAAGCAGATTGGTAGCGTTGTGTGGTAGTTGTGTGTTCAGTTTTTTGAAGAACCTGCACGGAGCTGTCCATGTTGACTGTCGCTGCTCCGTTCCCGCCCGCAGTGGCTGAGAGCCCGTGTCTCTGCCGCTGTGCTGACAGCGTCATCTTTGTCTGTCTAACAGCAGGTGTGAGGGAGCGCTCACTGTGGCTTCGCCTGGCCTTTCCCTGATGGGTAGTCGTGTGGATGCCTTTCCCCGTACCTGCTGGCCTTCTGTGTGTCTCTGGAGAAATGTCTGCGTGGGCCTTTTGCCCATCTTAAAAATGGATTATTTATTTTATTGCTGAGAAGTTGCTGATTGTGTTCTCTCTTGTAGTATTTAGACTTTGCTGAATTTGAAGACACTTTGAAGACATTTTCAAAGGAGTGCAAGATCAAAGGAAAACCGTGTAAATCAGCAGGTGGATCTGTGAGAGATTCCAAATCATTGATAATTCAGGTAACATTTTACTTATTTTTCTCCTCTTTAAACATTTTATTTATTTATTTTCATTTTATTTGAAAGGCAGAGAGAGAAAGGGGTCTTCCATTTGCTGGTTCACTTCCCAGATACCCTCAACAGCCGGGGCTGGGCCAGGCCAAAACCAAGAGCCCAGGCCTCCGGCTGGAGCCACTGACGTGGTGCGTCCTGTTCTGCCGGTCAGGCTGTGCGGTAGCAGGAAGCTGGATTAGCAGCGGAGGCGCTGGGAGCCCAAGCAGGTACTCCGAGCAGCCACGTGGGTGTCCAGGTGGCAGCGTGACCCTGCGCCACGCACCTGCCGCTTGGTGCTTACGTGTCACTCTGTAGACGATCAAGGTGCGCCCCTTGTCAGAGCTGCGGCCGTCAGAGAATGCTGGGATTGTTCTGGGCCCTGCCCTCAGCTCCTTGAGACTGCGCAGGCATCACAGGTGGATCAGCAGCCGCGTCCTTGAGTCGCTGTCCTCGTCCGAGGGGGTGTGTGCCCCGTGACCTCGCACACCCGTTTCTTGGAAGAAGGAAGCGGGGAACATGCGTTCCGAGGGGCTGAGACCGTGTGGTTGCCATCCTGAGCAGCTGTGGTCATCACTCAGGCCCCAGGGGTAGAGCAGTGAGCGACCGGAACGAAGCAGGCCCTCTGCCTCGTGGTGCTCACGCCCTGCGTGGGAGGGTGGGGCGGTGCCCAGAGTGATGCTGAGGCCGCGTCTGTTGGCTCTGGGGCACCTGCAGGCAGCAGAGGACACCGATGGCAGGGTCTCCGCCCCCAGGTTAGACAGAGCCTCAGAGTCTTCATTCCAGCCGTCGTGGACGCCTGGCTCCCATCGGGACATTCCAGGGAGGCCATGGCTTCGCCTTGAGTGTTCACAGTGAAATACGCTGTGTCGTTGGCACTCAACAAACGACAGGTTCTGTGAGGGACGTGTGTGTGTGTGTGTGTGTGTGTGACCACTGTGGCATGTTTGTTCTCTCATCGGTACAGGAGATGGTTGGTGTCTTGTGACCTCGAGGGCTGTACCAGTGGCCTGCTCTGTGTGTGGGGACCCTTTCCAGGCACAGGATGTGAGTCAGAGGTGAGGGTGATGTTGGCTGCATGTGTAATGACAGGGCAGAGGGTCGCGGTTCCACGTCTGGAAGTGGAGAAGTTAGGGCAGACTATAGATGGGCCATGTGATGTGTGGCCTCTGCCAAACTGTAAAAAAATGCCTCGACTCTGAGCTTTAAAATACCAGGAGAGCCTGCGCCACCGCCTCGTGGTTGGCGGGCCCCGCAGGGTGAGGCCCGTCCCGGTGTGGCTTGCAGCACTGCCGGCCAGCTCGCGGGCCACGGCTCGGCCGCTGGGAGGGCCCCCTCACCTTTGCGTCAGGCGGTCGTGCGCGTGTGGCACCGCTGGCCAGGGTCCCGCAGTGCCTCCCTGGCGGGGCTGTGCTCGGCCGCTTGTGCCTTGTCTGGGCAGCTCCTGCGCGGTTGCCCACGCGTGTCCTCCCCTCTCCGGGGCTGAGCAGCGGTGTTCTCACACCCGGCGGCGCTCAGCAGGGAAAACTTCTGACTGAGGAGCGTTCCCTCAGTGCGCGTTTGCACTTTACCGTGTTAACCAGCTCGGTTATTATTAAAAAAGACAATTTTACAGGAAAATTGCATGCAGAACCGTTCGGAAAAGTATAGAAGGACAGTGGCCTAATAGTGGGGTGAGCGATGGCGGTGCCGGGGGTATTGGGGCAGTAGCTTCAGTGGCTGCTTGGGACGCCCACGTCCCGGGTGGCGGTGCCTGGTCTGAGTGCTGGCTGCTCCGCTTCTGATCCAGCTTCCCGCTAATGCGTGTCCTGGGAGGCAGCAGGCGATGGCTCAGGTGCCCCCACACGGGAGTCTTGGTTAGAATTCTGGGCTCGCGGCTTCAGCCTGGCCCAGCCCTGCCTGTTGCCGGCATTTGGGGAGTGACCAGCAGACAGAAGCTCTCTCTGCCCGTCTCTCTCTCCGTTATTTCTGTGTCTCTTTGCCTTTCAAATAACATGAAAATAAATGGAACTTTTAAAATTAAGAGAAAAATGAGAGTGTTGGATGGGGAATTGGTGATGCCACAGAGAATCCCGTGTGAGAGAAGCCCGTGCAAACAGGCACAGGTTGTGTGTCCGAGCGTCTTGGGCATTCCGCTGAAGCAGGACCGTCCGAGAGCTGCGTCGCGTTGTTTTGGGCTGTTAGGAGATTCTGCCTGAAGTCACATTTCTACGCGACAGCTGTAGCGACTGGCCAGTGATCATTGTCTTGTGAGGCAGGTGGGAGGAGACTGCCCCTTCTCCAGAATTCTCTCTCGCCTGTTGCGTGCTAAGTCCTGAAGCTGTCCCTGCCCACCGGCTGAGACACACGGGTTGTGGCTGGATGGCGCCGAGCCTGTGCTGCCTCCTCCACCGGCAGCAGCTGTGTCAGCGTCCGCAGGACTTCCCACAGTGCCGCAGCAGCCCAGCATGCGTCTAGCCAGGGCAGGCGGCAGCGCCCACCTCCTGGGCCCGGAGCGATGGGCTCAGGGTCTCTGAGCTCAGAGACTCCAGGGTAGGCTGTTGCCAGCTTCCCTACCTGGGAGGCGTCTTCTGGTGTGGCCCGGCCCAGTTGCGTGCCATGGGTCAGCAGGGTCAAAGGTGACTTTAGGTATTTATGTGTCCGTGAGCTCCCTCATGTCAGTGTTGGTCCCGCGGCTGATGCCTTCCATTTCAGAGGCCGTCTGTGTCTTCTCCGTGCTGCACAGTGTCCAGATCTGACACAGCAGAGGAGTGGACGGCTGGGCCGGGTCGCGGGGTGTCTGCTGTTCCGTCCCTGACCTCCAAACAGCAGCGCGTGGGTTGGGAGAACTTGGGGTGTCAGCGGGAGCATCCCTGCCGCCCGGGGCCCAGGCCGCTGTCCTCCCCACAGAAGGATCTCCTGGCGGCCTTTGACAGCGGCGACCAGAAGGTGTTCTTCCACCTGTGGGAGGAGCACGTCCCCAGCTCCGTGCGTGACGGGGACTGCGTGGCCCAGAAGCTGGAGTTCTACCTTCACATCCATTTCGCCATCTACCTCCTGAAGCACGGGCCCGGGAGACCGGTAGGTGTGCCTCGTGATGGGGGGGTCCTGGGAGACCGGTAGGTGTGCCTCGTGATGGGGGGGTCCTGGGAGACCGGCAGGTGTGCCTCGTGATGGGGTGGGGTCCCCGGGAGACCAGCAGGTGTGCCTCGTGATGGGGTGGGGTCCCCGGGAAGAACAGCAGGTGTGCCTTCGTGATGGGGTGGGGTCCCCGGGAGACCGGCAGGTGTGCCTTGTGATGGGGTGGGGTCCCCAGGAGACCGGCAGGTGTGCCTCGTGCTGGGGTGGCGAGGGGCCGATCGGGGTTCTAGGTGAGCAGTGGGCAGGGGTGCTCGTGCTGGGGTGGCGAGGGGCCGATCGGGGTTCTAGGTGAGCAGTGGGCAGGGGTGCTCATGATGGGGTGGCGAGGGGCCCATCGGGGTTCTAGGTGAGCAGTGGGCAGGTGTGCTCGTGATGGGGTGGCGAGGGGCCCATCGGGGTTCTAGGTGAGCAGTGGGCAGGTGTGCTCATGATGGGGTGGCGAGGGGCCCATCGGGGTTCTAGGTGAGCAGTGGGCAGGTGTGCTCGTGATGGGGTGGCGAGGGGCCCATCGGGGTTCTAGGTGAGCAGTGGGCAGGGGTGCTCGTGCTGGGGTGGCGAGGGGCCGATCGGGGTTCTAGGTGAGCAGTGGGCAGGGGTGCTCGTGCTGGGGTGGCGAGGGGCCGATCGGGGTTCTAGGTGAGCAGTGGGCAGGGGTGCTCGTGCTGGGGTGGCGAGGGGCCGATCGGGGTTCTAGGTGAGCAGTGGCTCAGTTCTGGTGTCGCTTCCCCATGGTGCTTACACGCTGCAGGCATCTCGCGTCCCAAGGACGGATTTCTACCTCCTTCCCAGCAGCCGATTTTCTGATTTCTGTGGCGATTAAAGGATTTCTGCAGTCTAAGCCACACTGTTTTCCCGAATACCTGAAGTTTCTTTAGTCGGCAACGTGGTATTTGTGCAGGGGGCCCTCAGAGAGTGCGTGGGAAAACGGGACGAGCAGGTAGCGCTCAGTGGTCACGAGACTCTTCTTGTTTGCAAATTCAAGAGACGGGAGAGGCAGCTCCTGTCTGCTGGTTCACTCCGCAGATGCCTGCAGCCTGTGGCGGCCAGGCCTGGGCCAGGCTGAAACCAGGAGCCAGGAGCTCACATTGGCTCTCACGCGGGTGCAGGGACCTGGCTAACGGCTCAAGCCGTCACCCGCTGCCTCCCAGGGTGTGCGTTAGCAGGAAGCTGAGATCTTGAACCCGGACTCACATGTGGGACCCAGTGTCCTACGTGGGCCTCAACCCCTAGGCCAAACGCCTGCTCCTCCGTGGGCTCTGTGAGGACCCCTCGTACAGGAGAGTCTGAGACGGCGCACGCGAGTGTGTGGGCTCCAGATTAAGCCATGTGGAGAGCACAGATTGACGCCTGCGTGGTAGAACAGCAGCGCAGAGCATGTGCTGGGGCGAGAAGTTGAGCGTAGCTTCTGCAGCCTCTGCCCCAGACATGGGGCTGAGGTGTGAGGCCGCGTGGGCACAGAGGCCGTGGCAGAGAGGAAGCGGGCAGCCGACGTGGCCGCATGCGTGAGCTGCCGCCCGAGGACGGCGCTGGTCCGCTAAGCGTTGGGGAGGGGAGCTGCCCGGAAGGTGTTGCTCGTGAGGGAGGTCATCTGCGTTCTCTCTTTTTATTTCCAACATTTTTTATGCTCCCCACATGGGAGACCTGATAGGAATCCTCAGCTCCTGAGAATTTTTTTATTATTTTATTTTATTTTATTTTTTTAAAGATTTATTTATTTATTTGGAACTCAGAGTTACACAGAGAGAGAAGGAGAGGCAGAGTGAGAGTGAGAGTGAGAGAGAGAGAGAGAGAGAGAGGTCTTCCATCCACTGGTTCACTCCCTAATTGGCTGCATCGGGCAGAGCTGTGCCGATCTGAAGCCAGGAGCCAGGAGCTTCTTCCGGGTCTTCCACGCAGGTGCAGGGGCCCAAGGACTTGGGCCATCTTCCACTGCTTTCCCAGGCCATAGCAGAGAGCTGGATCAGAAGTGGAGCAGCCGGGACTCGAACCAGCGCCTGTGTGGGATGCCAGCACTGCAGGCAGTAGCTTCACCCACTACTCCACAGCACCAGCTCCCATAAGCATTTTTTTGAATTTATTTTTTAAGTGCAGTGGTCAGAGGATCACTTTTTTTTTTTTTTTTTTAAGATTTATTTTATTTGAAAGAGTTACAGAGAGGTAGAGACAGAGAGAAAGGTCTTCCATCCGTTGGTTCGCCCCCCAAATGGCTGCTATGGCCGGCGCGCTGTGCCGATCCGAAGGCAGCAGCCAGGTGCTTCTTCCTGGTCTCCCATATGGGTGCAGGGGCCCAAGGACTTGGGCCATCCTCCACTGCTTTCCCAGGCCACAGCAGAGAGCTGTATTTGAAGAGGAGCAGCCAGGACTAGAACCAGCGCCCATATGGGATGCCGGCGCCGCAGGCGGAGGATTAACCTACTGTGCCACAGCGCCAGCTCCCCAATGTGTGTTGAGAAGAGCAGGCTTGGTGTATGGCCGGGGCTGTGAGGCTGTTGAGGCTGCGAGGCTGCGACTGGCAGAGCCAGGGTGGTGCGGGGAGGAAGGCACCAATGCTGCTCCTCTGGTTTTCTGATTGAGAGCCTGGAGGGGCGAGCAGCCCCGAGAGGGTGGTGACCTCCCTTGGGTGAAGCAGGGTGACCCCCTCAGCTTGGTAAAGGGAGGAGCAGGGACAAGGCAGCTTCTGCTTCAAAAAGCAAAACACAAAGCGTGGTCAAGGTGCACCTGCTTGGGCCGGCGTCGTGGTGTCGTGGGTAAAGCCACTGCCTGCAATGTCAGCATCCAGTGTGGGTGCCAGTTGGTGTCCTCAGTGACTGGGGCTGGGCTGAGCTGAAGCCAGGAGCCAGAACTCCATCTGTGTCTCCTGCCTGGGTGGCGGGGACCCAAGTACTTGGGCGTTAGCAGGGATGTGGGTTGGAAGCGGAGTAGCCAAGAACTGGCTCTCTGAGGTTGATTGTTGGTGTCACACGTGGCGCCTTAAAACACTGCATCATAGTGCAATGCAGCTCAAAAAAAAATTTTTTTTTTAATTTGTTTGAAAGGCAGGGATGGGCCGGTGCAGTGGCGTAGCGGGTAAAGCTGCTGCCTGCAGTGCTGTATCCCATATGGGTTCCGGTTCCAGTCCCAGCTGCTCCACTTCCTATCTAGCTCTCTGCTATGGCCTGGGAAAGCAGTAGAAGATGGCCCAAGTCCTTGGGCCCCTGCACCCGCCAAGTCCTCCCACCTGTGTGGGAGACCTAGAAGAAGCTCCTGGCTCCTGGCTTCAGACTGGCGCAGCTCCAGCTGTTGCTGCCATCGGGGCAGTGAACCAGCGGATGGAAGACTTCTCTCTCTCTCTCTCTCTCTCTCTGCCTCTCCTTCTCTCTCTGTGTAACTCTAACTTTCAAATAAGTAAATAATTCTTTAAAAAAAAAAAAAGGCAGAGAGACAGAGGTCTTCCATCTTCTGGTTCACTCCCTAAATGCCCTCAACAGCCAAGGCTGGCTGGGCCAGGCAGCAGCCACGAGTCCGGAACAGAATCCAGGGCTGCCATGTGGGGAGCTTGGACCTGAGGACTTGCGCCATCACTGCTGCCCCCTAGGGTGCACTTTAGCAGGAAGCTGGAATTGGAGCCAGAGCCAGGACTTGAACCCAGGTACCCTGCTAGGGGAGGCAGGCGTCTCAAGTGATGTCTTAACTTCTGCACCAAACGTCTGTCCTGGGTTTTGTATTAATGCCTCAGGGATGCCCAGTCCGTGTAGTTGTTTGACCACATTTCATTCTGGGGGGGAATCTGAGGTGGTGTTTGAGTGAGTGGAGACGGCGCCTGCCCGGACAGGTGGGGATGGGTCCGGTGCCTGGCTGGGACTGCAGGAGGAAGTGCGTGGAGCTGGAGACCCCAACCGTGTGTTCCGCTTCCTGCAGGACAAGCAGGAGCTGGATGAAAGGATCTCTCACTTCAGAAGCTACCTGGAGACCAGAGGGGCAGCGCTGAGCCAGACCACAGAGTTCCTCCCTTTCTACGCCCTGCCCTTCGTCCCCAACCCGATGGTCCACCCCTCGTTTAAAGACCTCTTCCAGGTAAGTGGGGCTTTGAGTCTTTTTTTTTTTTTTTTTTTTTTTGACAGGCAGAGTGGACAGTGAGAGAGAGAGACAGAGAGAAAGGTCTTCCTTTGCCGTTGGTTCACCCTCCAATGGCCGCTGTGGCCGGCGCGCTGCGGCCGGCGCACCGCGCTGATCCGATGGCAGGAGCCAGGAGCCAGGTGCTTTTCCTGGTCTCCCATGGGGTGCAGGGCCCAAGCACCTGGGCCATCCTCCACTGCACTCCCTGGCCACAGCAGAGAGCTGGCCTGGAAGAGGGGCAACCGGGACAGAATCCGGCGCCCCAACCGGGACTAGAACCCGGTGTGCCGGCGCCGCTAGGCGGAGGATTAGCCTAGTGAGCCGCGGTGCCGGCCCTTTTTTTTTTTTTAAGATTTATTTATTTGTTTGAAAGGCAGAAATATATAGAGAGAGAAGGAGAGAGAGATCTTCCGTCCACCGGTTCATTCCCTAGATGGCTACAAGGCCAGGCCAAAGCCAGGAGCGAGGAGCTTCATCTGAGTCTCCCATGTGGGTGCAGGGGCCCGAGGACATGAGCTATCTTCTGGCACTTCCCCAGGCACATTAGCAGGGAGCTGGATGGGAAGTGGAGCAGCCAGGACTTGAACCGGTACCCATATGGGATGCCGGCACCACAGGTGGAGGCTTAACCCGCCACAGCACAGCGCCGGCCGCAGCCTTTGCCTCTTCCGTCAGCCTGAGCAGCATTGTGGTTTCACCTCGTGTGCGGTGGTCTCTGTGATGCTTTAGAAAGCTACAATTTGCATACATAGTTGTTTCTGCAGTTACAGTCCTGTTTATGTGGTCATTCTCTTGTTGCAGGGCTGGTTATGTCAGTTTGCTTTTCTGCCGTCCTGTGCTAGCGGTAGTGTGTGTGCTTGTGCATACCTGCAGGCCCGGGAAGTTTGCAGTCACACCGTACATATAGCCGTATATGTGTATATATGTCCATATAGTCCCACTGTTGGTGATAGAAAGGGCCCAATCGTAGGTCAGCAGGAGCACACGTCACAAGTGGTATCCCAGTGTGTCCTGGTCACAGTCTCCCTGTGACAGTGAATGCCATACGGCCGTGAAGATGAAGTAGCCCACACGGACAGTCTTACGTGGGCCAGGTGCGAGCCAGGGTGGGCTCTAGGAGTCCCTGTGTGTAGATCAGACACAAGTAGCCTTTGGGCGTGTGTGTACGAGTGTGACACAGTTCTGCAGGAAGCAGGGATTCTTTCCTGCTGGAGGGGCGAAGTGGTTTAAAGTTCATGGCAGAAACGGACTTCTGGGCCTGAGTTTTAACGCATGCGCTGACTCGCGTGACCAGCGCCTGCAGTCACACCGGCCCACCCCTAAGCCGCGGCACCCACCCTGACAGCGCGTTTGAAAGGACGTTCCGGTCACTTGTTTAGCAGCTTTTCCTGTGCCATAAAATACGATCTGCAGGGCTGCAGTAAGGCCTGTGAACCCAGGCTGACGTAAATATTTTTAAATACTGGCCCCGTAACTCAGTGTGTGGGTCCTTCCGTGCTGAAGGGATCGTGTGGCTGTGTGCAGAGCTTGGCTGGGCCTCACAGCCCCCAGCTCACAGGGCTGCTGTTCTGAGGTTGGCTGGGCTGGGGGTGAGTGCCTTCCTTTGTGGGAAGTGTGCTTTGTCTTCTGGCCCGGGACTCCAAACTTCCCTGCAGTGTGTCCGGGGATTGGTTTCTGTCTTCACTCGCCATCCGCTGGGCTTGCCGCAGGAGAGAGCGGTCTCGCGTCTCCTCCTCTCTGCAAAGTCTTGGTTTGTGCCTCTCCGTCTGTTCCCTCTGCTTCTCTGCCTGTCTGATGAAAGGTACATTGGGCTTTCTCGGTACATCTTCCGTGTCTTTTTTTTCCCCCATTGTGTTTTTAGTTGTGGTAAAAACTACATTTAACATGAAACGTAGCATTTGTGCCATTTTTCAGTGTGAAGTGTATCCCATGGTTTGCATACCATGAGTCGTTTTTTTAAATAAAGTTTTGTTTATTTGAAAGGCAGAATGGCAGAGAGTGGGAGAGAAAGGGAGAGGGAAAGAGAGAGACACACACAGACAGATAGACACGTATTCCAACTGCTGGCTCACTCCCCAGACGCCCACAACAGCGGAGGCAGGGCCGGGCCAAAACCAGGAGCCCCCACTCCATGCCTTTTTTGTTTTTTTAAAGATTTATTTGTTTCTTTGAAAGGCAGAGTTAGAGAAGGAGAGACAGAGAGAGCAAGATCTTCTATCCATTGGCTCATTTACCAGATAGCTGTGATGGCTGGAGTTGGGCCAGGCCAAAGCCAGGAGCCAGGAGCTTCTTCCAAGTCTCCCACGTGGGTGCATGGGCCCAAGGACATGGGCCATCTTCCAGTGCTTTGCCAGGCACATTAGGAGGGAGCTGGATTGGAAGTGGAGCAGCTGGGATTCGAACCAGCATCCATATAGGGATGCCTGTGCTGCAGGCAGTGGCTTACCTGCCACGCCACGGTGCCAGCCCTCTCCCTCCATGCCTTTTTTTCTTAAGATTTATTTATTTATTTGAAAGGCAGAGTTACAGAGAGACAGAGGCTGAGAGAGACAGAGAGATCTTCCTTCTACTAGTTCACTCCCCAAATGGCCACAGCAGCCAGAGCTGGGCAAATCCAAAGCCAGGAGCCAGGAGCTTCTTCCAGGTCTCCCACAAGCGTGCAGGAGCCCAAGCACTTGGGCCATTCTCTGCTGCTTTCCTAGGTCACAGCAGAGAGCTGGATCAGAAATGGAGCATCCAGGACTCAAACCGGCACCCTTATGGGATGCTGGCACTGCAGGTGGCGGCTTCGCCCACTACACCACAGTGCTGGCCCCACTCTGTGCCTTTTAATGCACACCTTTCCTACCGCTGGGTCTGTCTGTCTGTGTTCTGGGTGATTTATTCATAACTATTTTCCTGCTCGCAAATTCACCCTCCAGCTATGTTTCATCCGCTCTTTAACCTTCTCATAGAATTTGTAATTTCAGGTTTTTTTTTTTAAACAGATTCCTTTTTTTTTTTTTTTTTTAATTCAGATTTGCTAGATCGTTTTTGTAGTCTCATTCCTGCTGTCCTTGATTTCTGTAGCGTATTACACCTTCTTTCATAGTCTCTGCTGCCTCTCACGGGGCCTTATTTCCTTTTTTCTTTCTTCTTCTACTTTTTTTTTAAGTTTTCTTAGTTTTGGTGAATGAGTTTATTTTACTCGGGACTTGAGGGATTTTTGCGTGTGACCTGAGTACAGTTTGCCCTTCTCAGGGACAGAAATCCCTAACAACACAACACGGTGTTGCCACACAGGGTCAATGAATTTAAAAACGCTTTCAAAACATAGGTTTCCTTCTCATCTGGTAGTATTCGCCCCGCCCCCCAAAATTGGTGACGGACTGGGTGGGATGATGGGGTGGGGGTGGAGGCTTGGGGAGGGGGGGCAGGGAGCAGGAGAGGAAGAGGTGGGAGGAGTGGGAAGGCCTCAGCGTGGCTGCGTTTCTGGTGGTGTGGACGCTCCTCGTGGAGCTCCCTGGTCTGGGTGGGAGGTTTATTCGTGTGACGCGCTCAGGGGTGCGGCTGCGTGCAGCCCGGTGGTGAACAAGCCCGTGTCCCACACCGGGGGCCTGCGCTTGGTTCCCGGCTCTGTTCCCGACTCCAGCTTCCCGCTGATGCACAGCCCGGGAGGCAGCAGGGCCGGCGCCAGTAGCCGAGTCCCGGCGCCGCCTGTGGGCCCAGCTGCCGGCTGCCCAGCCCCTGGCCGAGCCCTGGGTGGGAGCCCTCTCTCCTCTGCCTTTAAAAAATAGACTTAAACAAACTAAAGAGCGTAAGGGACGCCGCCTTGAGGAAGACGTGTCTTCACCTTATGTGTCAAGATCCTCGTGTGCTTCACTGGGAAGTGGGTGCTTCTTTCTCCAGCGCTATTGAGAGTTTCTTTCTCAGTGACAAGGCAGAAGCCCCTCCTGATCCCTGGCAGCGGGGCTGCTCGCCGCGGATCGCGGCTATGTCCTCTCCTTACCCAGGCGAGTGTGTGGAATGAACCCCTTTCCTTGGGAGACGTCGAGTAGCTGGGGGGAACTGTTTGTGTTACGTGTGGCGCATGCGTGCCTGGCTGTACGGGATTATTTTTGGTATTCAGCCTGATAAGGTTACTTCTGCTTGTGTTTAAATCGCGTGGAGCATTCAAATCCTGGCCAGGGCTATTTCTGCCTTGCTAATGAACTCTTCTTCCCTCCTGTCGTGGGGCACGGATCTTCTGGTCACAGCGTCCCCAAAAGCTGGTGTCCGTGGGGTCAGCCGCTGGCGAGACCCCTAGCGTTGGGTTCAGCGTTTCTGGCAGCGTTCGGTCACCTGCGGCCGCAGCCTGCTGCCGCTGTCAGCATTGGTGATCGCGTTCTCATTCTTTTGTCTCTCTTTTTTTTTCTTTAGGATTCCTGGACTCCAGAGTTAAAGCTGAAGTTGGAAAAGTTCCTGGCTTTAATCTTCAAAGCCAACAGCACGCCCAAGCTTGTCACCATCTACGTATCCTTGCCGTGCCCACGGAGACTGCCGGTGGTGGGAGCAGGCGTTATGTGGGTGGCGCCGGCTCAGGGGGCCTCCCCAGGAGGGCTGACCGGCTGCTGGGGCTGCCTGCCTGTTCACAGGTGAAGGCGGCAGTACGGGGGGCCAGGAAGGGGCGGTGTCCCCAGCACGGAGTCCCCAAGACTTGGCGAGGGTCTGGGTTTGATGTCACAGCCTGTGCGCTGCCTTGGTGGGCGCAGTCCTGGGCATCGCTGTGCTCTGTGGGGCAGCCGCCAACCGCGTTTCAGGCCCGGGGGCCCTGGCGTGTGGATTGGGCAGACACCTAACTGTCATTCAGGTTGCAGCTTCTTTTTAAACCAGTTACTGCGGTATAATTTACATACCATAAGAATTTCCTATTGTAAGTGTATAATTCAATGATTTTTAGCAGATGTGCAGAGTTGTGCAACTATTACCATAATCCAATTCAAAATGGGGCAGTTGAGGAAAATGGATGTGTTTTAATCTATGTGAAAGGAGCAGAGAGAGAGAGATTGATCTCCCGTGAGAGAGAGAGAGGGAGAGGGAGAGAGAGGGAGAGGGAGAGAGAGAGAGAGGGAGGGAGAGAGAGAGATTGATCCCCCGAGAGAGAGAGAGAGAGAGGGAGAGAGGGAGAGAGGTTGATCCCCGTCTGCCGGTTCTCTCCCCAGAGGCCAGAGCTGCTGGGCGGGCCCGGCCCGAGCCGGGAGCCGGGAGCCCGTGTGGGTCTCCTGCAGCAGTGCACGTTCGCGGGAACAGAGCCTGGCCTTGAACCCAAGGATGCAGCACTCCCAAAGGCTGGCGGTCGCTGAAGGACGCTCGTCTCTCACTGGGAACGAGGATGCACCACAGGGTCTCGTAGCAGTCTGGGTCGGGACGTCGTGCGGTTCTGTTTACGGAAGCTGCAGGCTTCTCCGCCGCAGACGCCCCTGCGTCCTTTCCAGCGCCAGAGCCGTTGGCCGCCTGGGCCTGACTGCGCTCTTGTCCCTAGGATCCCCTGACACTGCCTCCCCACCCCCCCCCAGCTTCCTCAGCCTGAGGGGCTCCCCACGCCCCGTCCACGTCCTCGGCCCGGCGGGGGACTGTGCACGGCAGACCCAAGTGCAGCTCCTGTGCGCCGGAATGTCCCTCAGGCTCTCGGGCAGGGACCTCCCCGTACCCACCCACCACAACGTTTGCACGATGGCTCCGCCTTCTTAGATTTCCACAAACCGGCAGTGCTTCCCAGTGAAATTACGACTTTTCGGACTTGGCTTACAATTATTTTAATATTATAACAAGCTTAAAACTTATGGGTGCCCATCTGTTAAAAACCTAAATGAGGAGCCAGCGCTGTGGCAAAACAACTTCAGCTGCCACCTGCGTCCCATGTGGGTACCGATTTGAGTCTTGGCTGCTCCACTTCCCGTCCAGCACCCTGCTAATGTGCCTGGGAAAGTGCCAGAAGGTGGCCCCAGTGCTTAGGTCCCTGCACCCACGGTGAGAGACCTGCATGAAGCTCCTGGCTGCTGGCTTTGGCCTGACCCAGCCCCGGGCATTGCCACCACTTGGGGAGTGAACCAGCGGATGGAAGGTCCCTCTCCCTGTCCCTGTCCCTGTCCCTCTCCCCCTCCCACTCCCTCTCCCTCTCCCTCTCCCTTTCCCCCTTTCAAATAAAGAAAAATCTTTAAAAAAAGAAAACAGAAAGAGGCACCTAAATGTAAGTAAAGAATCTGAACAAAATGGTTTCTATGGTAGATGGTTTAATCACATTGGTAACAGAACAGCATATTAGAACTGGAACCCCGGCTGTGGGGAGAGGGTGAACATTAGGGTTAGACGTGGACTTGCTTGCAGCGCTTGCTGCCTGCGAGCTTGGTGTTCGGGTTTTAGGGCTCCGCACCTTTCCTCCTGGTCAGGGAACTGGAGCAGTCCCCTTTGCCTTCCTTGGCGTGTGGACGTCTCTGCAGTTCGGTTCAGCACATGAAGCTTCTCTGGGATGAATCTTGTGCTGGGGAATGAGGATGCAAAGGACAGCCAAGGCCCAGTAGCCTTAGCTGGGTTGGGGTGTGGAGAGTAGAATGGGAATGTGCGAGGCAGACCGAGTGAGGGCTGGGAGGACCAGGTAGGAGGAGCGGCCTGCGTAAAGGCGCTGAGACAGTGTTCGGGCAGCGCTGAAGAATGGGATGTGGCTGGAGCAGAAGGCTCGGCACGGAGCCGGAGGCCTTGGCGGTTACCAGGGTTTGTGAGAGCAGCAGGAGGCTTGAGAGCATTTTAAGCAGAATGACATGGCTGTATTGACCCCCAAAATTCCTTTTTTAAATTCCTGACTATAAGTTGATCATATTTCTTATAGAAAATCTGCAAAGCACAAAAATGAATTTATTTTTATACACCACCCCAAAGCATGCAGTGTTTATGATAGACATAGATGTGTACATGTAAGTGTAGATTTCAGAATGTTTTTATCAAACGACGAGAGCATTTCCACGTATCATTCCATAGTCTTCACAAACTGTCGTCTTGAGTTGCCTGAGAAGGTAACTTGCCACGTGACCTGACAGTTCCGTCAGCTACGCCCCGAGAGAAGTGACACCTGCCTACACAGGTCACACGTCAGGTGCACAGCAGTGTTCTTCCTCATAGCCCGAGAGCACCACCCCCCGGGTGTGTGCCCCGTGGTGGTGGGTAAGCAAAACGTGGTCTTTCTGCACAGCCGGTTACTTGCCCGTAAAGAGAAATGAAGAACTGATTCGTGCTTGGCGTACGTGCACTCCGTGAACGTGTGCTAAGTGAGAAGAGCCAGACCGCAGAGGCCACACGGCGCGTGATTCCATCTGTGTGAAGAGCCCAGCAGGGGTGGATCTTCCAGCTTTGTCTGAACAGGGGCAGAGTTGGATCAGGGCTGCCAGGGCTGGAGGAAGGGGAGTAAGATCAGCGGTGCGTGGCTTCTCTGGGGGATGGTGAAAATGTTGTGGAAGCGATTACAGTGACGTTGCACAACTCTGACCACACTGAAAACCATTGAAGTGTCTACTTGAAGTAAATTGTGCTGTGTGTGAATCCAGCCAATCCCAGTGAATCAGGAAAACTTGAGATAAGGTCAAGAAAACCACTTAAAACATTGGCCTCCGACTGTGCAGCCAGACACGGGCTGAGGTTTGAACCCAGGCGGCCGGCTGCAGGGCCCGCGGTCCTGGCTGCTATGCTGTGCCGTGTTGGTCCCATCTGTTTGCTCAGGACAAAGCTTTAGAAGTGGAGTTCCAGTGCTCAGAGGTGTGGCTGCAGATTTGCAGTGGCGGAGCATTTTGGTCGTAGTGGGGAAGGCCGGTTGGAGGCTTGAAACGATGCAGAGCTTGGGCTTAACGCTTAGAATTGAGAGGGAGGAAGAGGGTTTGCTTGGGCCGGAGTCTGCCCAGCCTCGGGAAGTCACTCAGAAGAGCAGCCCGTGGAAGTCCTGGTTGCCGGGCTGAAGTGCTTTCTCAAGTTGGCCGGCCACACGATGTCAGATACACCCTGCATCCTGCGTCCTGACGCCTGTTTTCCTGAACTCCCCCTCATCCCAGCAGGAGAACGGACAAAGCAACAAAGGTGTGTCACCTGGGTTGAAAGCTCTGTGACAGCAACTTTGCCTACTGGAGTTTAGGTCGGGAGCGTAGGACGGGGGTGGAGAGAATCGTGGACTTGCTGAGTGAGGGCTGTCCGAGGCCGTCTATTGATGAAGTGCTTTGCAATCGTATTTATCCACAATTTCTTGTGGCCCACTTTTCAGGATGGCTACTATGAGGATACTTCAAAAAGTGTGTGTGGAGTCCAGTGTTGTAGCTCAGTGGGTTAAACCACCGGCTGCCACACCAGCAGCCCATCTGCGCACTGGCTGGAGTCCCGGCTGCTCCACTTCTGGTCCAGCTCCCTGTTAATGCCCCTGGGAAAGCAGTGGAAGGTGGCCCAGGCCCGTAGGCCCTTGCACCCATGTAGGAGACCCGAATAGAGTTCCAGGATCTGGCTTCAGCTTCGCCCAGGCCTGGCTGTTGTAGCCTTTTGGGAGTGAACCTGCAGATGGAAGATCTCTCTCTTTCTCTGTCTCTTCCTCTGTAATCCTGTCTTTCAAATAAGTAAATAAGTCTTCAAAAAAAAAAAAAAAAAGTTTGTGGAAAAATATGTTTATTTTGAATAATTGAAATAATTGAAATCCATATATCACTTTTTCAGAATACTCGTTTTCTGTGAATGTTTTGAAGAATCCTTGTATGCATGGATTTAAAAAAAAATTGTGCTAAGATAAATTATCTTCTAATTCCACTTCTGTGGACTTTTGACATACCCTAGTGTCGTTAGCTTCGTATCAGATAACCGTCACGGAGAAGCTAGGGCGTCCAGGTGATGTGCCAAAGGCAGGTAACTCTGGCAGCCCGGTCGGAGACAGGGTACGGTACCTGTGTGAGGTGTCTGTAACTTTTACCTTGAACTCGTCCAGTGGGGTCTTACCACGGTAGCAGCATGGGGTACCCGGTTGTTCTAGTCCCTTTTCTGTGGCTCTATGTGAATTCCATAGCCTGAGTGATTTCTAAAGAACAGAGGTTCATTTGGCTTATGGTTCTGGAGGCCCAAGGTTGCGGGGCCACATTTGGGGAGGGTCTGCTTGCTGGCGGGGACTCTGCAGGATCCTGAGGCGGCGCGGGGCACCCCATGGCACGAGGGGTGCACGTGAGAGACGGGGCCAGACTGCCTTTCGTGAGGGCCCCCGCCAAGGCGCTCATCAGCCCGGGGTGGGGCTCTCATGGGTGAGACCCTCCTGCTCAGCTCCGAGGGCCCGTCTGCTCTCATCTCAAACCTCACACTGGGGATCCAGTTTCAACATAAATTGTGGTGGGGGACATTCATTCAGACCATGACACCATTTTTTTTTAATAATTTTAATAATTTATTTGAAAGAGTGACAGAGATCTTCCACCTGCTGGCTCACCCCCCAATGGCTGTGATAGCTAGGCCAGGCCGGGCCCACCAGGAGCCTGGAGCTCCGTCCAGGTCCCCCATGTGAGTGGCAGGGACCCACGCACTTGAGCCGTGATCTGCTTCCCCAGGTGGATCGGCAGGAGCTGGATCAGAAGTGGAGCTGCTGGGGCTCCAGACAGCGCTCAGATGGCATGGAATGCCGACCTCACAGGCAGCGGCTTCACCCACTGCACCCACACACTGAACGCAGTGTGCTGTCAGGAGCCAACTGTAGGCTGGCACCGCGGCTCACTAGGCTAATCCTCCACCTTGCGGCACCAGCACACCGGGTTCTAGTCCCGGTCGGGGCGCCGGATTCTGTCCCGGTTGCCCCTCTTCCAGGCCAGCTCTCTGCTGTGGCCCGGGAGTGCAGTGGAGGATGGCCCAGGTGCTTGGGCCCTGCACCCCATGGGAGACCTGGAGAAGCACCTGGGTCCTGCCTTCAGATCAGCGCGGTGCACCGGCCGCAGCGTGCCAGCCACGGGCGGCCATTGGAGGGTGAACCAACGGCAAAGGAAGACCTTTCTCTGTCTCTCTCTCTCACTGTCCACTCTGCCTGTCAAAAAAAAAAAAAAAAAAAAAAAAAAAAAAAAACAACAAAAGAAGCCAACTGTGTCTCTGACGAGTGGCCCAGATCGATGTGGGAGGGCGTGTGCGGAGAAGAGCCCGTGTCTGGGGGTGGAATTTCAGTGAGGGGACCACAGTTTTCAAGCCTTCATTAGGTTCAGTTTTCACTGGGCTTCCTGGAGGTGACCCAGCAGAATGTCCACGAGCTGAGCCTGGCAGGCTCTGTGTGTCTGGCTCGGTGCCCCTGCACTGCACCCTTTCTTTAATTGTCACGGAGATCAGAGATTAGTGGTAGTCCCCACTGAGTAGCAGGGCAGCCAGTTGTCACCCCTTGTCCCCTCCTCACAGTGGTCATCGCAGACATGCCCCAGTTTAATTCTTCATACGGGTGTTTTTTTTTTTTTCCCCTTAAAATTTATTTATTTATTTATTTGAAAGAGTTACACAGAGAGAGGAGAGGCAGAGAGAGAGAGGTCTTCCATCTGCTGGTTCACTCCCCAGATGGCCACAATGGCCAGAGCTGTGCTGTCCGAAGCCAGGAGCCAGGAGCTTCTCCTAGGTCTCCCACGCCAGTGCAGGAACCCAAGGACTTAGGCCATCTTCCACTGCATTCTCAGGCCATAGCAGAGAGCTGGATTGGAAGTGGAGCAGCCGGGACTCGAACTGGCACTCATATGGGATGCCAGCACTGCAGGCGGTGGCTTTACCTGCTATGTCCCATGGGTGTTGTTTTTAAATGAACTGGGTGGGTGAAATCATTATTCTGGGTTTTATTAGGAAGGTTTCATGAGTAGATGGAGATTTTCCCATAAATTTTTAAAGAAGGCAAGAAAAGTGCTTGCATAAAATTCTCCCAAAAGGAATTGCTTTAACAAATGGTATTAGAATGAAAACTTAGGTAGGCAGCATGGCACTCTGAATTGTTACTTTTCCCTACCCATTAAAGAGATACGGAAGTATCTTCTGGCGTTAACTGATCCATTATTTCTGGAGTAGGATCCTGAAGCAATGTATTTTAGAATGATGACCTATGTTTTTTGTGTGTGTGTGTGTTTTTGTTGTGTGTTTTTTTTTTTTTTTTTTTTTTTTTTTTTTTTTGACAGGCAGAGTGGACAGTGAGAGAGAGAGACAGAGAGAAAGGTCTTCCTTTGCCATTGGGTCACCCTCCAATGGCTGCCACAGCCGGTGTGCTGCGGCTGGTGCACCGCGCTGATCCGATGGCAGGAGCCAGGTACTTATCCTGGTCTCCCATGGGGTGCAGGGCCCAAGCACTTGGGCCATCCTCCACTGCACTCCCTGGCCACAGCAGAGAGCTGGCCTGGAAGAGGGGCAACCGGGACAGAATCCAGCGCCCTGACCGGGACTAGAACCCGGTATGCCGGCGCCGCAAGGCGGAGGATTAGCCTAGTGAGCCGCGGCGCTGGCTGACCTATGTTCTTAATAATTACTTTTTCATCCTTAATTTGTGGGTTAGCAACATAGCAGAGGTCACTTCTGTCTGAATACGAAGAGGAAAGAATAGGTCATTACAGAGCGAGTGATGGTAGGTTTTTATATTAGGTTAGAAGAACAGTCCCATATTTAAAATTGGTCATTTTATCTTGAGCAGCCAAGGGGTTTGTAAAATTAAAGTCTCATTTACTCAGAAAAAAAAAAAAGACAGTAAAGACAGTGTCCCTAAATGCAGAAGAAAAGTAAAAGGAAAGGGCGGGGCTTCGTTGGGCAGCACCGCATCCTGTACTGGCGTGCTAGGCTGAGCTCTCACCCAGCTCGTGTTAATGCCCCGGGAGGCAGCAGAAGGTGGCCCGGGTGCTTGGGCCCCTGCCGCCCATGTGGGAGACCTGGGTGAAGCTCCTGGCTCCTGGCTTCAGCCTGGCCCAGACCTGGCTGTTGTGGCTGCTTCAGGGGTGAGCCAGTGAGTGGAAGATCTCTCTCTCTCTCTCTCTCTCTCTCTGTCCTCTCTCTCTCTCTGTCCTCTCTCTCTCTCTGTCACTGTGCCTTTTAACAGGTAAAGAAAACCTTAAAAAATAATGAAAAAAGAGTTCAGGTCCTGTTTGTAGCTGCCCAAGACACCGTAAGGTGAGGTCTCTAGTTAGGAGCTGTGCCTGGGCCAGGTGGTGTGTTTGGAAATGACCACTCACCTGCAAGGCAGGATCCTGTATGGGCGCCAGTTCAAGTCCCGGCTGCTCCACTTCCAATCCAGCTCTCGGCTATGGCCTAGGAAAGCAGTGGAAGATGGCCCAAGTGCTTGGGCCCCTGCACCTTCTCATTCCCAGAGGCTCGGGCGGGTAGGTGGCTTTTCCCTCAGTTGTGCCACACTTTGAACTTGTCACAAATTCTAGTTCTCCTTTTCCAAGGCAGAAGTCCCCCGGATACTCCCTTAGGTATAGCCAGTTGCTCAATGAGATTCTGTTGCTATTATGAAATGCCGGAAACAACTAACTTAGAAGAGAAGAGGTTCAGTTACCATTCTGGAGGTGCAGGTCTGATATGGGGAGCCCCCTTGGCCTGGTCTCTGCGCAGGATCTAGCCTGTGCCCGGGAGCCGAGGTAGGTGGAGCCAAGCCCAGGCCTTGCACACCCTGCTTTCTGACGATGTGGCCGAAGGACTTGCCGCTAGACCTCCCTCCTAGAGTCTCACCTCCCAGTAACACCACTCGGGACCAAGCCTTCACACGTGTAAAAGAAGTTTGTTCATTCATTCATGAATATGAGGCGGAGCTCCCATGCGCTGGTTCACTCCCCTGATGTGTGCAGGAGCAGGGTCTGGGCCAGGCTGGAGCTCGAAGCCAGGAACGCAGGCCAGGGCTCCCCCGTGGGCGGCAGGAGCCAGTCACTTGAGCCATCACTGCTGCCCCCAAGGTCCGCATCGGCAGGAAGCTGGGACCAAGCCTTTAACACGGGGGCTCTTAGGGACACCCGGGCCCTACCCAGATCAGCCCGCTCCTGAAGGAAGAGTTCCTCTGTGCAGCCCCTCTGTCGTGTTGGTGACTGGGGAGGTCACTGGCCGTTGGTACATATAGAGAAAGCACCGATGTTCTCTAATATTTAATACGAGAGTGTGGGATTATGAACGATATTCTACAGACTTTCCATCTTTGGATGTCTCAATGTATGTCATTTTGAATTCTGCATGTAGGACAAACACTGATAGTAGTGTAGATTTAATATATGGTAAGAGTCAGAGGAAGGTCGTGGGCCCCTGTCCTCATGGCGTTTAAGAAGCAGCATTCCCAGAGATGTCTTCCAGGGCTTCCAGTCCCGGGTGTAATGTCTTTTTTTTTTTTTTTTTTTTTTACAGGCAGAGTTAGACAGTGTGTGAGAGAGACAGAGCGAAAGGTCTTCCTTTGCTGTTGGTTCACCCCCCAAGTGGCCGCTACGGCCCGAAGCCAGGAGCCAGGTGCTTTCTGGTCTCCCATGTGGGTGCAGGACCCAAGGACCTGGGCCATCCTCCACTGCACTCCTGGGCCATAGCAGAGAGCTGGCCTGGAAGAGGGGCAACCGGGACAGAATCTGCCGCCCCAACCGGGACTAGAACCCGGAGTACCGGTGCTGCAGGCGGAGGATTAGCCAAATGAGCTGTGGCGCCAGCCTCGGGTGTAATGTCTTAAAGTGACTTTAATCCTGAGGCCACCCCGTCAGGGTGCTGAACAATAACAGTGATTATGATAGTGATGATAAAAGTTCTTTATTATGTGATATTTTGGGTTTCGTGGTTAAAGATTTTTCTTCTGCACAGAAACATGAAAAGGTTTTGTCGCTCCCCCTCTTCGTGGAGGAACGACACAGGACCCTGCGCTGTTCTTTCGTCTGCTCGGCCCTCCCCGGGTTTGCTGCTGGTTCTTCCCGGGTTGGCTACTATCCCTTCCACCTCCGTGGAAGGGCAGTTCCCCCTGCCACATTCCCCACTTCCGCAGGGGAGCGGCACACCGCCGGCCGGCTCTCTGGGGGGCTGCACAGGTGTTCCTTCAGATAGATGTTCCTCTTAGATGTTCCTGGTGCATGTTGTCTCTCTCCTCCTTTATAGTCCTCCTCTGCCAATCCCAACTCGGCTGCCCACACGCCGAGTACGCTGCTCTCCTCCAATCAGTAGCAAGTCCTACAGTTTATTGGTTGAACTGGAGGCAGCTGTGCGGAAGCTGTTTACTTCTCTCCCAGCGCCATATTGTGGGAGAGCAGATGCATAGAATAAGTCTTAATTCCAGTAACTTAGTCCAGTCCGGATTGCTCCCCACAGGTTTGAAATGCAGTTTGCATGTGGTGGCCTTTCTGCTGTTGGGGACGCAAGTTAGGGCGGACAGTGGGTCTCACCCTCGGGCGTGCATCAGTGCCCTCTGGGCGGTTTATTGAAAGTAGAGGTTCTCCGGGCTGGCACTGTGGCATAGTGGTAAAGCCACCACCTGCAAGGCAGGATCCTGTATGGGCGCCAGTTCAAGTCCCGGCTGCTCCACTTCCAATCCAGCTCTCGGCTATGGCCTAGGAAAGCAGTAGAAATGGCCCAAGTCTTTGTGCCCCTGCACCCGCGTGGGAGACCTGGAAGAAGCTCCTGGCTCCTGGTTCTGGATCAGCTCAGCTCCAGCTGTTGCGGCCATTTGTGGAGTGAACCAGCGAATGGAAGACCTCTCTCTTAGCCAGGATATGAACTGGTGCCCATAGGGGATGCCGGCACCGCAGGCGGCAGCTTACCCGCTCCGCCCCAGCGCCGGCCCCACAGGAGGCTCTAATTCCACTTAGAACGAACTGGCCTGCACCAGGCTCAGTGCGAAAACTGAGAAAGACACGGGTCTGTGGTCCAACCATTCTATGAGCCGAGCGTAGAAATCAGCGTTCATTTTGCTTGGACATTTCCTGGGGCTCAGTGCAGGAAGCAGGCTTGGCAGAGAGCCGGCAGTGATTGGGTAGCGCGTCACAGGCAGGTCGGTTTGCCTCAGGGGCCTTGTCTGAAGGCGGCTGAAGTGGAAGTTAGGTGTTGAGCACCAGGAGTGTCCGTGTCCTTGGGAACAGCAGGTGCGGCGACCGGAGGCCCGCTGAGCCCTGGAGAAGAGCGCAGCTGTGACTCTCTGGGCTCTGTTGCTGTCCTCTCGGTTTGTTTTATGTAACCTGTCTCCCTAGAAGTGTTGCAGCAGCTGCACCAGCAGCTGGTGGAAGCCGAGCGCCGGTCAATGACGTACCTGAAGCGGTACAATAAGATCCAGGCCGACTACCACAATCTCATCGGAGTCACGGCGGAGCTGGTGGATTCCCTGGAGGCCACAGTCAGTGGCAAGATGGTAAGAAAGACCCCAAATTGTGTCTGTCTGTCTGGGTGTGGTCACTCCTGGGTTCCCCTAGTTTTCTTTTAGTACTAATATGTTTTTGTTTTTATCTACTTAGAAGGCAGAGAGACAGAGAAAAACAGAGATTTTTCCATCTGCTAGTTCACTCCACGAAAGCCTGCAACAGCGAGGACTGGGCTGTACTAGAACTAGGAGCCCAGGACTGGGCCGTACTAGAACTAGGAGCCCAGGACTGAGCCATACTAGGACTAGGAGCCCAGGACTGGGCCGTACTAGAACTAGGAGCCCAGGACTGAGCCATACTAGGACTAGGAGCCCAGGACTGGGCCGTACTAGAACTAGGAGCCCAGGACTGGGCCGTACTAGGACTAGGAGCCCAGGACTGGGCTGTACTAGAACTAGGAGCCCAGGACTGGGCCGTACTAGGACTAGGAGCCCAGGACTGAGCCGTACTAGGAATAGGAGCCAGGACTGGGCTGTACTAGAACTAGGAGCCAGGACTGGGCCTAGTACTAGAACTAGGAGCCCAGGACTGGGCTGTACTAGGAATAGGAGCCCAGGACTGGGCTGTACTAGAACTAGGAGCCCAGGACTGGGCCGTACTAGAACTAGGAGCCCAGGACTGGGCCTAGTACTAGAACTAGGAGCCCAGGACTGGGCTGTACTAGGACTAGGAGCCCAGGACTGGGCCGTACTAGAACTAGGAGCCCAGGACTGGGCCGTACTAGAACTAGGAGCCAGGACTGGGCCTAGTACTAGGACTAGGAGCCCAGGACTGGGCCGTACTAGGACTAGGAGCACAGGACTGGGCCTTACTAGGACTAGGAGCCCAGGACTGGGCCGTACTAGGACTAGGAGCCCAGGACTGGGCCGTACTAGAACTAGGAGCCCAGGACTGGGCCGTACTAGGACTAGGAGCCCAGGACTGGGCCGTACTAGGACTAGGAGCCCAGGACTGGGCCTAGGACTAGGACTAGGAGCCCAGGACTGGGCCGTACTAGAACTAGGAGCCCAGGACTGGGCCTAGTACTAGGACTAGGAGCCCAGGACTGGGCCTAGGACTAGGACTAGGAGCCCAGGATCCAATCCGGGTTTCCTACACCTTGACGGCAACGTGAGTCATTGTCTGCTGCCTCCCAGGTGGACGTTAGCAGGAGACTGGAGTGGGAAGCAGAGGCAGGACTTGAACCCAGGCGCTCTGAGGTGGTTCAGGGCCATCTGAACCAGTGGGCTAACCATCCCTGTACCTTAGTCTTCATGTCAGCAAGGAAGAAGTCATCTGGCAACAGTCAAGAAAATCGCGTGGGTGCGAGGAAGTGAGGGAGAAGAGCCCTGGCCTGTGGGATGAGCACTGACCATCATGCCCTGGTCTGTGTCCTGCTGCCTTCCTGAAGCCTGCTAAGCTCAGAGTTTTTGATCGGTTCTCCCGTATTCTAGATCTGCCAGTCATGGTGTTTAGTGGCACGTTTGGGTCTTCTCGTTTCTCCTGACGTCTGTCATCAAGACCTGTGGGACACTGCTGTCATGTGATCGCGGGCATCTCCGTCTCCTTCCTGACTTTATGGACTTCTGTGTTTCACTAAAAAAACACGAGAAAGTGCAATAAGATCTCTTTGTGGAGATAGGAATTTTCAGCACTGGGGCAGGAGTCGTGAGATACGCCTCCACGCAGCCGGGGGGGCAGGGTGAAGCCAGGTGTGTCCCTGGGCAGGTGCAGTCGTGAGCAGGCCGTCAGGGTGAGCTTGGCTTGAAAGAGATGAGGGAACTAGTTATGCAGTCCTCAGAGAGAAGAGAGTTCTGGACCAGAGGTGCAGCCCGTGCAGAGGGCTCCGTGTCTGTGTGTGGCGCCTGGGCTGGTGAGGGAGGGAGGAGGTGGCGTGAGGCAGAGTGAGGCCGCTGGAAGCCTGGGGCATGATGCAGGGCGAGGTCTGACAGCTGTGACAGCGCCACCCGACCACTGCTGCAGAGCCTCCTACAGCCCTGTCCAGTGCTGTATTCTGAGCCCCCCAGGCCGCTGCTCCCAGGAGCAGTGTGGAGGCAGGGACCGTCACCGACAGGAGGCCTGGTGACCAGGGCGGTGTTGGGGGGTCCTGAGTGAGGCAGGAGAGGTGCCTCCTGGATGTAGATGCGCTTGCAGCCGGCAGCGGCCAGGCCGACTCCTGGGGTTTGGCCTTCGGCGCTGGAAAGGTGGCCTCGCCACCAGCTGAGACAGGAGGGCCCTGGGCTGGAGGGAGTTTGTTGGAAACTGAGAATTCAGTTTTATTATTTCTTTAAGTTAGTTTGTATGAAAGGTGGAGCAACAGAGAGAAAGGGGGAGATTGATTCGGCATCTGTCGAGTCACTCCCCAAATGGCCACAAATCTGGGGCTGGACCAGGACAAAGGCAGGAACCAGGAACTCCATCCGTATTTCCTACATGGCTGGCAGGATCCTAAGTACTTGACCATCATCCCCTGCCTCCCAGGCGCATGAGCAGGGAGCTGGATCAGAGGGAGAGTCGGGACTCCATCCCAGACAAGCCAGTGTGGGATTCAGGCACCCTAAACATCAGCTTAGCCCGCCATGCCACAGCAGCCGCCCCACGTAGCTTTTTACTGGAATGGATTTTTGCTGTTCTGTCCGGTGCCAAAGGCCTCTGGGCTCTTGTGGAAGCACGGCACATGAAGCTGCCACACCTTGGTGGCTGTGGCCGGGTGGCCGGAGCGTGAGCTCGTGGCTGAGAGCTGCAAGGTGACGCGGGGAAGGTGGAGAGGTAAAGATCAGGGCTCTGCAGGCCGTGCTGAGGGTCTGTGCCTTATCCTGTAGTTTGTGGAAGCCACTCAAATGTGTGATTTATTTATTTATTTGACAGAGTTACAGACAGTGAGAGAGAGACAGAGAGAAAGGTCTTCCTTCCCTTGGTTCACTCCCCAAATAGCCACCTCGGCCGGAGCTATGCTGATCCGAAGCCAGGAGCCAGGTGCTTCCTCCTGGTCTCCCATGCGGGTGCAGGGCCCAAGGACCTGGGCCATCCTCCACTGCCTTCCTGGGCCACAGCAGAGAGCTGGCCTGGAAGAGGAGTATCCCGGACTAGAACCTGCGCCCATATGGGATGCTGGCGCCACAAGCAGAGGATTAACCTAGTGAGCCACGGCGCCGGCCCCAAAATGTGTGTTTTAAACGTTAGAATTTTTAAAGTGATGAGTTTTAAGAAAATTTTTTAAAATAGCACATTTTAACTTTTCTTTAAGACAGAAAAGTACCAGAAATAAAACAAAAAATGGCTCAGTAACCCAAAAAAGAATATTCATTGAGTTAGAGAATTCGAAGTGTGTAGACGGAACTGAAAAGTGGGCACCTTCTTTTTGCCCTCTCTTCTGTTAGAGTAACTGCTGCCACGCTGGCGTGTGCCTCTCGGAGCCCAGCTGCTGTGGCCCCATCCGCATGGGCTCCTGCTGGAGTCTGGGAGCAGAGACGGGTTTGCAGGAACGCGCGGCAGGGCTGTGACGAGGCCCCAGGTGTCACGACGGGCAAAGCCTTGAGGCTGGCTCCTCTGGCTCGACTTCAGAGTAAAGACACATGTGTCTCGTGGCGAGAAAGAGATCTCAGGCCTGGTGCTCTGTCCGCCGTGTGACGGCCCCTGTTGCTTAAATGAACAGAAGTGGCTTGAAATCCGTTCATTGTGTGCAGGATGGTGGAAAACGATCAGGTGGGGTTGCGTCATTTGAACTGTGACAGCAGTGATGACACACGCGGGGTGCCAACAGCGTTTCCTGGCTGGTCCATGGTTAACTCCGCCCCAGCGCTCCCCTTTCAGGCCAGCCCTTTGCCAGCGCGTTACGGCGTCACCGCACTGTCGCGGCAGCGCAGGGCGGCAGCCATCAGGCATCCCTCTCACCCGCTGCACTCGTGTCCTTGCAGATCACCCCCGAGTACCTGCAGAGCGTGTGCGTGCGCCTCTTCAGTAACCAGATGCGGCAGAGCCTGGCACACAGCGTGGACTTCACGAGGCCTGGGACGGTGAGGCTCTGTGCTCAGAGTGGGGGCCTCTGCTCCGCCCCCTAATTTATAAAGAAAAAGCTAAGGAAAATGAAAGGAAGTGTGAAAGTAGCCTTCAAGAAGCTGCATATCAATGGGCTTTTTTTTTTTTAAAGATTTATTTATTTAAGATTTATTTTTGGGGGCCAGCTCTGTGGTATAGCAGATTAAGCTGCCATCTGCAGTGCCTGCATCCCATATGGGTGCCAGTTTGGGTCCCAGCTGCTCTGATTCTGATCCAGCTCCCTGCAGTGCGCCTGGGAAAGCAGAAGAGGATGGCCCCAGTGCCTGGGCCCCGCACCCACATGGGAGACCCAGATGGAGCTCCAGGCTCCAGCCCGGCCCAGCCCTGGCCGTTGCAGCCATGTGGGAGTGAATCAGTGGATGGAGGATCTCTCTCTCTCTCTCCCTCACTCTCTTTAAAAATATATATTTATTTATTCGTATGAGAGACTCATAGAGATGGAGAGACAGAGAGAGAGAAATGTTTATCCATTGATTCACTCCCCAGATACCTACAAGGGTCAGGGCTGGCCAGGGTGGAGCCAGGAGTCAGGAACTCCATCCGGGTCTCCCACATGGGGGACAGGGACCTTAGTACTTGGCCATGATCTGTGCCTTCCCAGGTGCATTAACAGGGAGCTGAATTGGAAGCAGGGCTGCAGAATCAAACACGCTCATCTGGGATGCGGCTTTGCAGGCGGTGGCTTCACCACTGTGCCGCGACGCAGGCCCTCAGCTGACCTGGAGGTTTAGAAACTCCCAGAAGGAAGAGAAAGCTGTTTGGAAGGGGGTGCCTGTGGGACAGCCCCCTGGTGGCGGTGAGGGAGAGGCGGCTTCTGTGCAGCCCAGCACAGCTGCTCCATGGCGGGCACCACGAGCCGGGAGCGGTGGGAACGAGGAGGCCTGGATCTCTCAGAGCAGCTGTGCTGGAAGCCGTGGGGGCCTGGGCCCGGCTCGTTTGGTTAAATTTGTCCCTGAAATCATCGCAGACTCACGGAGAAGGTCAAGAGCAGCACAAAGGCCCCTGTATGCCCTTTTCCCGCGTCACCAACTCAGTGTTCACCCTGTTGTTTGTTTACTCTCTCCTCTCCCTCTCTCCCTCCCTCCCTCCCTCTCCTTCTCTCCCTCTCTCCCTCTCTCGCTCTCTCCCGCTCTCCCTCTCCCCCTCTCCCCCCACCCCCAGTCTGATTTCTGAACCAGGTGAGTATCAGCCTTACATAGCACAGTGTTTATTCCTGAATACTTGAGTGTGTGTGAGTCTCCATTTCTTGAGATGAAGAATCCTCTCTTGTGCAGCCATCCAGTTACTAACTTCAGTACACCCAGCAGCAGTGCGGCCTCCACCTCCACACCCAGTTACTAACTTCAGTACACCCAGCAGCGGTGCAGCCTTCTACTCCACACCCAGTTACTAACTTCAGTACACCCAGCGGCGGTGCGGCCTCCTCCTCCACACCCAGTTACTAACTTCAGTACACCCAGCGGCGGTGCGGCCTCCTCCTCCACACCCAGTTACTAACTTCAGTACACCCAGCAGCGGTGCGGCCTCCTCCACACCCAGTTACTAACTTCAGTACACCCAGCGGCGGTACGGCCTCCTCCTCCACACCCAGTTACTAACTTCAGTACACCCAGCGGCGGTGCGGCCTCCTCCTCCACACCCAGTTACTAACTTCAGTACACCCAGCGGCGGTGCGGCCTCCTCCTCCACACCCAGTTACTAACGGTAAGAACACCCAGCGGTGGTACGGCCTCCTCCTCCACACCCTGTTACTAACTTCAGTACACCCAGCGGCAGTGCGACCTCCTACTCCACACCCAGTTACTAACTTCAGTACACCCAGCGGCGGTGCGGCCTCCTCCTCCACACCCAGTTACTAACTTCAGTACACCCAGCGGCGGTGCGGCCTCCTCCTCCACACCCAGTTACTAACTTCAGTACACCCAGCAGCGGTGCAGCCTCCACCTCCACACCCAGTTACTAACTTCAGTACACCCAGCGGTGGTATGGCCTCCTACTCCACACCCAGTTACTAACTTCAGTACACCCAGCGGCAGTGCACCCTCCTACTCCACACCCAGTTACTAACTTCAGTACACCCAGCGGCGGTGCGGCCTCCTCCTCCACACCCAGTTACTAACTTCAGTACACCCAGCGGCAGTGCGGCCTCCTACTCCACACCCAGTTACTAACTTCAGCACACCCAGCGGCAGTGCACCCTCCTACTCCACACCCAGTTACTAACTTCAGCACACCCAGAGCAGTACAGCCTCCTACTCCACACCCAGTTACTAACTTCAGTACACCCAGCGGCGGTGCGGCCTCCTACTCCACACCCAGTTACTAACTTCAGTACACCCAGAGCAGTACAGCCTCCACCTCCACACACAGTTACTAACTTCAGTACACCCAGCGGCAGTGCAGCCTCCTACTCCACACCCAGTTACTAACTTCAGCACACCCAGAGCAGTACAGCCTCCTACTCCACACCCAGTTACTAACTTCAGTACACCCAGAGCAGTACAGCCTCCACCTCCACACCCAGTTACTAACTTCAGTACACCCAGCGGCGGTACAGCCTCCTATCCACACCCAGTTACTAACTTCAGTACACCCAGCGGCAGTGCGGCCTCCTACTCCACACCCAGTTACTAACTTCAGTACACCCAGAGCAGTACAGCCTCCTACTCCACACCCAGTTACTAACTTCAGTACACCCAGCGGCGGTGCGGCCTCCTGCTCCACACCCAGTTACTTACTTCAGTACACCCAGCGGCAGTGCACCCTCCTACTCCACACCCAGTTACTAACTTCAGCACACCCAGCGGCAGTGCGGTCTTCTACTCTACCCTACTCCACATCCATTTCCCAACTTTGCTAAGCCAGTGATGGCCCTCGCAGCATCTCCCAGCCCCAGGGTCTAGGGTCAGGCATTGCATTAACTTGTCATGGACCCTTAGCCGCTTTAACCGTGAACCTTTCCCCAGTCTGTCTTTGTTTTTGTTATTTTAAAAAATTTGTTTTATTTATTTGAAAGGCGGGGAGACAGCAATCTCCCAGCCATTGGTCCACTCACCAAATGCCTACAACAGCCAGGGCTGGGCCAGGTTGAAGCCAGGATCCTGGAGCTCAGTCTGGCTCTCCCACATGGGTGGCAGAGACCCAACTACTTGAGCTGTCACCTGCTGCCTCCCAGGGGCCCCGTTATCAAGAAGCTGCATGGAGAACGGAGCGAGGACCTGAACCCAGGCTCTCTGAGGTGGGATGTAGGCGTCCCAAGCACAGCTTAAGCTGTAGCAATACCTGCCCTTCCTTTGTCTCTGATTCTCATGATGTTGGAGGCCATGGTTTCCCCACTTTATGAAAAACAGAACATTTCTCCTTTGGTGTTTGGTGTTCCCTTGTACGTAGACCCAGGCTGTGGCTCCCGGACCCAGTGTCACCCAGGTGCTGCTCTGTCCTTTGTCAGGGAGCACAGCTGGAGGCCCTGGTGTTGAGGCACCAGTGTCTCCCAGGGCCGCCTGATGGGTCAGGACGCACGTCCTTGGAGCTCCCCTGCCACCTGCCTCACCGGCTGGGGTGAAGCTCCTGGGTCAGAGCCATGGCTTTCATTTATTACCATTTTTCAAGATTTATGTTTTTATTTGAAAGGCACAGAGACAGAACGAGCACTGGCCCACTCCCCAAACGGCCACAATGGCGGGGCTGGGCCAGGCCGAAGCCAGAGCCCAGAGCTCCATCCAGGTCTACATTCACGGCAGGGGCCAAGCACTTTGGTCATCCATCTTCTGTTGCTTTCCCAGGTGCATCAGCAGGGAGCTGGATCAGAAGTGGAGCAGCTGGGACTTGAACCAGCGCTCCCGTACCAGATGCTGGTGTTGCAGACCATGGCTTGCCCCCAGTCCACAACGCCAGCCCCATACTATGAGGGTTTGCATATTAGTGTTGGAATCTGAATAAACAGAGGCCTTTTTTAGTATTTAGAAACAAATTTGTACCCTACCTCATTCTCAAGAAGATTTTTGAAGAATTTTAACCTGAAAATAGAAAATAAAATAAGTAGGGTCTGGTGTCGCTGCTCAGCGATTAAGCTCTCTCTTGTGGTGCTGGCATCCCATATCCCAGTGCCAGTTCGAGTCCCGGCTGCTCCACCTCCCATCCAGCTCCCTGCTCATGCGCCTGGGAAGGCAGTGGGAGACGGCCCGGTACTTGGGCCCCTGCACCCACACGGGAGACCAGGGTGGAGTCCCTACTCCCAGCTTCAGTCTGTCCCAGCCCTGGCCATTGCTGCTATTTTGGGAGTGAACCAGTGGTTGGAAAATCTCTCTCTGTCTCTGTCTCTTTCTGTCTCTGTTTCCTCTCACTTCTGCCTTTCCCATAAGTAAGCAAATCTTTATAAAAAAAAAAAGAAGAAGAAGAAGTAAATAAATTGTGTTTAAAGGAAAATAAAGGTAGGAAGATGATAGTAAGGCTGGCTAAAAAAAAAAAATTTATTTTTTTTTCTTTTTTCTTTTTTTTTTTCTCTGCCTGAAGTGCTATGCCCCTATCTCTGCCAGGAACATCTACTTCTTTTTTTTTCTTTTTCTTTTCTTTTCTTTCTTTCTTTCTTTTTTTTTTTTTTTTTTTTTTTTTTTTGGCAGGCAGAGTGGACAGTGAGAGAGAGAGAGACAGAGAGAAAGGTCTTCTTTTTGCCGTTGGTTCACCCTCCAATGGCCACTGTGGCCGGCGCGCTGCGGCTGGCGCATTGCGCTGATCCGAAGGTAGGAGCCAGGTGCTTTTCCTGGTCTCCCATGGGGTGCAGGGCCCAAGCACTTGGGCCATCCTCCACTGCACTCCCTGGCCACAGCAGAGAGCTGGCCTGGAAGAGGGGCAACTGGGACAGAATCTGGCGCCCTGACCGGGACTAGAACCCGGTGTGCCGGCACCGCAGGCGGAGGATTAACCTAGTGAGCTGCGGCGCCGGCCAGGAACATCTACTTCGAAGAACTGAGTGTCCCAATCAAAGGCCATCTCCTCATGCAGAGGCCATGTGCGTCCTGTCTCTGCTCTCTGTTCATGTCCCTGCAGTGTGCACCCAGCAGTGTGCAGCAGGTCTCCCGGACAGTGGGGTGAGGGAGAGAGTAGGAGCAGCCTCAGTGCTTTCCCTGGTACACATACTGGCCCCGTGGCTGATGTCAGCTGCGTGCATAATGTCACCAAAGGCAGAGCTGGGAAGGAACAGAAATGGCTCGTCCTCTGCAGGCAAGCCCCCACGGGCCACTGTGGATCCAGCGCACGGTTTTCCTCTTCAAAACCTACCGTGTAAGAACATGAGTTTGCCGGGTTTTGTTTTGTGATCCGTTTACTCTTCTGTTTTCTTTCTTCCTCAGATGTCATGAGCTCCAGAGGCCAGGGTCCTGTCTGTTTACAGCTCCACCTCTGGTGCTTATCAGGAAGGCTAGCAGAGAGGAGATGTGCGTGCAGTGCATGTGTGCTGAGTGAGTGACGCTCCTGCAAAGTCCCACACGCACAGTCGTTACATCTCCCCAGTAACGCGAGGAGTGGGCAGGAGCTGTCTTCGGGTAGGATGAAGAATCAGCAAGTGGAGATGGAGATGAGTGCGAGCGATTCCCCCAAGTTCCTCCACAGGCAGTGCTAGGAAGGGGACTGAAACGCTCCTGTCTCCCCAGAGTACCGTCCACACTGCATATCGTAGGTGGTGGTTTCAGATCTCACAGGACACCCTGGCTAAAAAATTAATAATTTATTATTAAAAATAATAATTTATAATAATAATAATTTCATTATTAAATGAAACCTGTTTTAAGCTGCTTTTCCCCTGGAAACGCAGGCCAGAGATTTGGCTCTGAGTGTCCCAGCAGCCTGTGCCAAAAGGGAAGCGAGGGAGGGTGGCTGTGCAGTTTGTGCTAGGTAATGCTCACTGAGGCTGGCTGGGATGCTCACCCGGAGCCCTGGCACATCCCCCTGCTGGCTGTCCCCGTGCCCCTGGAGTCCTGGTGTGCCCTCCGGAACACTGATCTCTTCCAAGTAGGTGTGTGACTTTTGTAACTTTAAAGCAAGTTGAAATACATTTTTTTTTAAAAGACCAGAAGGTCAGGCTCCTGCTACAGTGTTCTTTCCGCTGCTGCGACCTGAGTAGTTTTGCTCCTGGGTTGTCACGGAAAGGACACAGCCCTGTGGCCAACAGCAAATGTCCTTGACCACATCCTCTCGGCGAACGTGGCGGTATCTTAGCGACAGCCACTGTACCCCGGTGGGCAGACAGAGGGGAGAGCTGTGGAGTCACAGAAAAGTGGAGCACAAAAGTCAAGGGCATTGGCCGCTTTTATAAAGATTCATTTATTTATTTGAAAGAGTTACAGAGAGAGGGGGAGAGACAGAGACAGACAGACAGAGGGAGACATCTTCGTCTGCTGGTTCACTCCCCAGATGGCCTCAGTGACTAGAATTGAGCCAGGCCAAAGTCAGGAGCTAGAAGCTTCATCCGGGTCTCCCACGTGTGTGGCAGGGCCCAAACACTTGAGCCATTATCCGCTGATTTTCCCAGGCCATTGTCAGGGAGTTGGGTTGGAAGTGGAACAGCTGGGACTCAAACCGGCACCCAAATGGGATAAACTGGTGATGCAGGTGGTAGCTTTACCCAGTATGCCATAACACCAACCCCAAATTGGCCATTTTTAAAATGTCAGTAAAGCAGATGTTGGCTGTCCAGGTTTTAGAAAAGTGACTTCCTCACGAGCCCTCAAGGGTGAGGGGCTGGGAGCCATACTCCCAGGACTGGCTGTGTTGAGCTGTGCACAGGCCACGGTGCCTGTCGTCGCTGGAGGAGTAGAGTGTTTCCAGAGAGAACGGCCTTCTCACAGCAATGGCCTGCGAAGGCTTGGTGGCTTATAGGACCAGTCCATCCTCGCTTCCTTCCCGTTTACTTGCTGATTCATCCAGCACCTAGAGGGTTTCTGGTTCCAGGTAGAAAAGTCCATCATATCTTACGTGGGCAGCATCCTTCTGCCACGTCCCGAGGGGGCAGGGGAAGCTGGCCCAGTGCTGGGAGTCTGGCGACCAATCTCAGAATGAGCACTCACGGGGCCTCGGTCCAGCCCGAGACGTCGGGATCTAGTGCAGAGCCGCAGGGTCCAGAGAGGCCGCAGGCACACAGGCCGTGAACGGGGCTGTCCGTTCAAGCCCCCAGCAGCAGGGAGGGTCACAGGGTGGCTCCCGCGCCCGGCACCAGCTCCAGCAGCTACTGGCTGCTCTCCGTCTTGGCTCCTTGCTTCTCCTCTGCCTAATTTTTTTTTTTTCCCTCCTGGAGTTGTTTAAAGCCAATTCCAGATATGTCGTTTGACCTGTGGATAATTCGGTCTGTGTCTCTGACAGGCAACAGAAAACACGGGCCCACAACACTCGGTAAAATTCTCATTAAATTCCTTGGTATCATTACTGCCAATCCCGTCCATATTGAGATTTCCCTTATTTCCTCAAAATACCGATTTCCAGTGGAGTTGAGTCGGTCCACACAGACGTCGCACACTGCGTCTGGTTTTAGGTCTCTCGAATGTGTTTTGACACGTTTAATGTAACACCGCCTGTGGCGGCAGTCTGTACAGGGGGACTGCAAGAAGTTCAGGGAAATGCAATGAAAAGATAAGTTTATTTTGGGGTGGAAAAATTCTGAAACACATGCATATGAGGGAACTTAAAGAAATTCATGGAAACTGTGTATTCTGAAAAACGTGCATGGATTTCACTTTTTTTTTTTTTTTTCTTGTAGCGTATTACTTTAGCTTTGGTTTGGGCTCCTTTTGAACCCGTGTATGACTCTGCTGGGAGAATACTGACGGCTTGAGGACGTTGCAGATCTGTCGACCATGTGCCGTCAGACCAGGAAGAACGCGATGCTGCCGACGGTTAACGTGGTCTCTTTTCTTCTGTCCCCTTCCCGCAGGCTTCGACTATGTTACGGGCCTCCTTGGCACCCGTGTAAGTAGTCGCTCTCAGTTACTCTCATTAAGGGGAGCGCTGTCTGTGACCTGGACTGGGAGTCGGTCCAGTTAGTGCCTGGTGCACTGGCATGCCTCGATCTCCACGTTGATGTTAAAGGAGACTGCGGCAACTAGAAACAATGCCATTGAACAGGACTGACCTTTTACTGCTACGTCTGTTTGTTTTGATAAGGTAGCAGCAGATGGAGAAAAACCGGTGCCTTGTTGCCATGGTAACCAACCGACCTGAGTGGGTGTGCCCGTCACGGTGCAGTCAGCAAAGCATTGCATTCATGCCCTGGTCCCAGCCACGGGATGGTTTTGTGTATGCCTGAGCATTTGTATCCGCATCAATTAGGCTGCCGCCCACGAGTGCCTGATGCATGCATACTTCAAGTTGTCGCAGCAAGGACGTGGGGAACCTTGAACCTGCACAAGAGGGCTAGGCTGGGTCCTGTCGGCCCTGGGAGCCGCTTGGTTGGGCAGGGCTGCTGTGCGGTTCCCCAGACTCAGCAGTCCTGCCCCGGCCCTGTCCGAGCCTGACCCTGAGCCTGCTCTGTTCCCTTCTGCCGCCTGGGCAGCAGTGTCCCATAGTGCACACAGGCACACCCTGCTGGGGGCCAGCATGCCACCTCTGCCGGCAGCTCTGCGACCAGGGACTGTGAGGTAGCTCCTCCGGGCCTCGGTCTCCCAGCTGTAAAATGAGAACAGTGGTGGTGACTGTGTTCCAGGGCTGTGGTGAAGCTAAAAATGATTGACACGGACGAGGCGCTCAGCACAGTGCCAGGAGCCTGATCCACTGTTCCCAGCGACACAAGAGGCAGGGCCGCCTGCAGAGGGACAGTGGGGCCAGTCGATGCGGGAGGTTAGGAGGGCAGAGGGGCAGGCCGGTGGGGAGAGGCTGGACCGCGAAGTCCGAGGTAAGCAACCTGCTGCTAGCATTGCCCTCACTGGCACGTGTGTGTGGTTCAAATGCAGAAGCAGCCAGCTGCAGAATGTTACCGAACACAGATTTGCCACTGGAGCTGTTTTGTGTAGGACAAATTCTTCATGTTAAATACTTTCAGAGTTGCAAAAGCAGTACAGAGAATTCCCACTATACTCTTCACTTAGATTCCCCAGTGTTAATATTTCACACAAGCCCGGTAGAGTTACCAGAATCAGAAAACGAACCTGGAGCCAGTTCTGCCATCACGGAGCCAGTACTACCGTCGAGTCCACAGGCTGTCTTCACGGTTTACCGGTTGTCCCGGTCACCCTTGCCCTAGCCTGGGACCCCATGAGGATCAGTGCTGACTCAGCCGCCATGTCTTCTGCGTTTCCTGTCATTTGAAATCCTTCTGGCCGGCACCGCGGCTCAATAGGCTAATCGTCTGCCTGCAGCGCCGGCACCCCGGTTCTATTCCTGGTTGGGGCGCTGGTTCTAGTCCCGGTTGCTCCTCTTCCAGTCCAGGTCTCTGCTGTGGCCCAGGAGTGCAGTGGAGGATGGCCCAAGTGCTTGGGCCCTGCACCCCATGGGAGACCAGGAGGAAGCACCTGGCTCCTGGCTTCAGATTGGCACAGCATGCCGGCCGCAACGCAGCGGCCACTTGGGGGGTGAACCAACTGGAAAAAAAAGGAAGACCTTTCTCTCTCTTACTGTCTAACTCTGCCTGTCAAAAAAAAAAAAAAAGAAAAGAAAAAAGAAAAAGAAATCCTTCCTCAGTCTTTGTCTTTATTACCTTGATACTTAGGAAGAATACTACCAGTTATCTGCACAGGACGTTTACAGGTAGCCTCATTTTTAAACCCCCACCGCCTCAGGAAAAGCGTGACCGATGTGCCCACGCCTGTGAGCGCTGCTGGCTGTGGGACATGAGAAGCCCCATCCCCCAGCTGCGAGCCCAGATCTCACCTGCTGCCTCTCTTCTGGTCTTTCTTCTGGACCCGCTAAGCCAATCTCATTTTGTCTTTTAAAAAATAACATTAAAAAAGCTAATGAGAAACCTATTTTTTAAAGATGTATGTGTTTATTTGAAAGGCAGAGTTAGAGAGAGAGTCTTCGGTCCGCTGCTTCACTCCCCAGAGGGCTGCAATGGCCAGGGCTGAGCTAGGCCGAAGCCAGGAGCTTCGAAGAAGAAAATTTAAATTACCCAAAGTGCTGCCGTCCAGGGCTGTCTTGCATCCTAGCAAGAGAAACCTTACATCTTTAGTCTCTTCAACCAGCTCTTCGTGAATCTTGTGCAGTGTCCTTTTTCTACTTTTGTTAAAATTTACGTATTTGAAAGGCAGAATTGGAGAAGGAGAGACGAATCTTCCACGTGCTGGTTCGCTCCACAGATGACCTCAGCTCCATCCGGGTCTCCCACACGGGTGGCTAGGACCCAAGCGCCTGGGCCGTCTTCTGCCTTCCCAGGCACATCAGCAGGGTGCTGGAGCGGAAGCGGAGCAGCCGAGGCTCAAACTGGTGTCCATGTGAAGTGCCAGAGTCGCAAGGCAGAGGCTTAACTGGCTGCGCCACGATGCAGAATCCTATGTCTGTGTTTTGGTTTTGTCCCCCGGGCCACTTCCGACCGCCTCCTCCCACCGCCCGCTCCGCTCCTCACCTCGTCCCACCCCTCTGGCGGGGGAGGCACAGTGGCTTCAGGTTCCAGTGTGCCGGTGCTGACGTCTGTGGGCTTTGCTCAGAATTCTGAATAGACGTGGTGCAAGGTGATGTCTTCCCTCCTGTTGTGGGGAGCCTCGCCCACGAGGAGCGCAGGGGTGTCTGACCCGTTCACACAGATGCTTCTCAGCTCGGGGAAAGGGTGATACAAGACGTCCTCCCAGCAGAGCCAGCCGCACTGTGTCGGTGGTCCAGGGTGCGGGGAAGCCTGGCGGTGTTCTCAGCCTGGGCCGGGCAGCTGGGCACCGCCACGTGGGATCAGAGGGCCGGATGCTCATGTGGACTCAGCTTGTCCGTTTGCCTTTTTCCCTCTCTTTGAACTTGTGTTGCTGGGTAGGAAACTGAAGGATGTCCCTTTGCTGCCCTCCCTGGACTATGAGAAACTGAAGAAGGATTTGATCTGGGGGAGTGACCGCTTGAAAGCCTTCTTGTTGCAGGCTCTGCGCTGGGTAAGTACCTTTCCCTCCAAGTCCAAAGCCAGACGCCCCGTGCTGGTTTGCTTGGTTTGGTTGGCTGCCTTGCTTGTATCTTGCAACCCATCTACTAAAATTCTTCCTGCCTGCTGCCCACTGGCACCAAGAACTAACGTTGAAGGCAGGTGTAGAGGGCTAACCCCGAGGACATCCAGGCTCTGCGTCCTGGTACCTGGGTTCCAGTCCCGGCTCCAGCTTCCTGCTCATGCAGCCTCTACCAGGCAGCTGTGGTGGCTCAAACAATTGGGTCCTGCCACGCACGTGAGAGACCTGGCTTCAGGCTTTGGCCCTGTCATTGCCAGCATTTGGGGAACGCACCAGCAGGTAGGTGGGAGAGCTCTTTATCTGTCTCTCTGCCTCTCAAATACAATTTTTTTTAAAACTTTATTTTTTTAAAGCAGGTTCTGAGCATGGCCTGAGCCTCTTTCTCCCTGTCGTGACGTCACGGCTGCCGTGGCCTCCGTGGGGCACTAGGGTGCAGGGTGACGTTGCAGCTGCTGTGGCCTCCGTGGGGCACTAGGGCGCAGGGTGACGTTGCAGCTGCCATGGCCTCCATGGGGCACTAGGGAGCAGGGTGACGTCATGGCTGCCGTGGCCTCTGTGGGGCACTAGGGTGCAGTGTTGCACCCCGAGTCTGGCCCTGCCGTCTGGGCATTTCCTGGTGCTGAGCTGAGCTCCCAGCCCCGGGGAGGGGCTGTGGTGGCAGGCAGGGTCTGGCCCCTCCAGGAGTCTGCAGGGGTCGTTGGGCAGCCACCCAGAGCGGACGTCAGGGCAGAGAAAGCCTCGTCCGGCCCTGCTCTCTCTGGTCCTGAGAGCAGTCAGCTTCAGGCAGCAGCTGGTGCGGTTCGGGCCTCAGACTCTGCAGTCCCCAGCATCACTCAGGACCTCAGAGAGCTGTCGCTTATGTGACTATCTCCCAGGATCCAGAGGTCAGAAATTACAACTGGGAAATGTAAGGTGTCTGTAATGACATGTTTTTTTTTTTTTTTTTTTTTTTTGACAGGCAGAGTGGACAGTGAGAGAGAGAGACAGAGAGAAAGGTCTTCCTTTTGCCGTTGGTTCACCCTCCAATGGCCGCCGCGGCCGGCGCGCTGCGGCCGGCGCACCGCGCTGATCCGATGGCAGGAGCCAGGAGCCAGGTGCTTTTCCTGGTCTCCCATGGGGTACAGGGCCCAAGCACCTGGGCCATCCTCCACTGCACTCCCGGGCCACAGCAGAGAGCTGGCCTGGAAGAGGGGCAACCGGGACAGAATCCGGCGCCCCAACCGGGACTAGAACCCGGTGTGCCGGCGCCGCTAGGCGGAGGATTAGCCTAGTGAGCCGCGGCGCCGGCTATAATGACATGTTTTTAATGAAAAATAGCTTTTTCCCCAAACTATTTTTCTTCTTTTTAAAGATTTATTTATTTATTTGAAAGTCAGAGTTACACACAGAGAGAGGAGAGGCAGAGAGAGGTCTTCCATCCGATGGTTCACTCCCCAGTTGGCCACAACGGCCGGAACTGCGCCGATCCGAAGCCAGGAGCCAGCAGCTTCTTCCAGGTCTCCCACGTGGGTGCAGGGGCCCAAGGACTTGGGCCATCTTCTACTGCTTTCCCAGGCCATAGCAGAGACCTGGATTGTAAGTGGAGCAACTGGGACTCAAACTGGCACCCATGTGGGATTCTGGCACTGCAGGCGGCGGCTTTACCTGCTACACCACCGTGCCAGCCCCCCAAACTATTTTTCAAATAAGTGAGAAAAAAGGCATTGTTTGCTGTTTGTTTGTTTGTTTGTTTTTTCAAATTTCTTTATTATCTGACTTAACAGGGCAACTGGATTTTCATATCTTTTTTTGCATTCAATTTACCCCCCCCAGTATTGTACTTTTAAAATAATATTGTCGCTCCCCGTCTTCGTGGAGGAACGACACAAGACCCTGCGCTGTTCTTTCGTCTGCTCGGCCCTCCCCGGGTTTGCTGCTGGTTCTTCCCGGGTTGGCTACTATCCCTTCCACCTCCGTGGAAGGGCAGTTCCCCCTGGCCACATTCCCCACTTCCGCAGGGGAGCGGCACACCGCCGGCCGGCTTTCTCGGGGGCTGCACGGGTTCCCTTAGATGTTCCCCATAGATGTTCCTGGTGCATGCCGTCTCTCTCCTCCTTTATAGTCCTCTTCCGCCAATCCCAACTCTGCTACCCACACGCCGAGTACGCTGCTCTCCTCCAATCAGGAGCAAGTCCTACAGTTTTAGTTGAACTGGAGGCAGCTGTGCAGAAGCTGTTTACTTCTCTCCCAGCGCCATATTGTGGGAGAGCAGATGCATAGAATAAGTCTTAATTCCAGTAACTCAGTCCAGTCCGGGCTGCTCCCCACAAATATTTATTTATTTATTTATTTGTTCCCCCAATTCTCAAAATAGCCAGAGTCAGGCTAGGCTGAAGCCAGGAACTCAGTCCAGGTCTCCCATGTGGGTGGCAGGACCACAGCTGAGCTGTCACTGCCGCCTCCCAGGGTCTGCACTGGCTGGAAGTATCAGACCCAGGTGTTCCAGGGTGGGCCACCTGGCCCCAGCTGGCATCTTAACCTGCCCCTGGCATCACACGCGTTCCAGCCTCTGCAAGACGCACCATGAAGAAAGGCTACGCGTGTGTTAGTGTTATTATGAAATAATTGTGAGATCCCTGAAAGGGTCTCGGGGACACCACAAGGTCAATGCTGATAGGTCCTGTAAGTGAGCGATACGGCCAGGCGCGCCCAGCCTTAGCACCGGAGCAGTGTCCCCTTCTTGAGAGGGCAGCAGCTGCCCTCACATGTCCATGGCGCCTTTGGCAGCACTCCTGGGATGTCTTGAGTCCTCTGAGGACACACCCGGGCTTGCAGGAAGCCCCATGCCCCCGCAGCGGCACCTGCTCTGGTTTTGTCGTGGCAGCCGAGCCCTGTCCCATGGCTGTCCCCTCCCTGGCCGTCTTTCCCTGCTCACGTGTCCCTGTCATCTCTCACTGCTCATGCTTTGCCCACCCATCACTGCGGAGTCTCCTACAGAGGTGGGTGAGACAGTGACATGGTCATGGGAGAGCCCGGAAGACCAGACAGGCCCTTGTGATCTTGTTCTTGGCCCCACACCGTCCTCTTACCCTGCCCTGACCTTGGTGTACCCGCAGAGGGCGGCACTCTGCTCCTCCAGCCCGGTCCCCTCCTGCCTTCTTGGCCGTGGCACAGCCGTGGCGGTCGGGGTCAGCTAGCAGCACCTGCCCCTGGGGGCCTCCCTGGGGGAAAAAGGACCCGTGCTCGTTTCAGTCACGTGGCTGGGTCAGCACAAGCACGCATGCACACATTGCCCGTGCTCCCCGTCCGAAAGCCTTCTTCCTGCTGTGTGGACATCACATAACTTCCTAGCACGGCAATGTAACAGATGTGGCTTTTCAGAATCCAAGCAACTCGAGCCAGCTACCCCCTGTGCACACACGTGTGCACACACACACACACACACACAGCATTGCTCTCTCTGTCCCTGTGGTGGGTCAGGGTATAGCGCCATCCCCTGGCACGACGTGCAGTCACAGCCCCCCACACTCGGCCCACTCAGCACACCCTGCGTTTCTGTGCCTCCCCGAGCCGGCCGCGCTGCCCCAGCCCCCTCGGCGCTCCCCTTGCCCTGCGCTGGGTCAGTCTGCTCGTCCTCAGGGCTGACTCCTGAGCCTCTTCCCTGCCAGCGTCGCCTCTCTGGGCGTCTGTGAGCGCACACAAGCCGGCTGCGCGCTGCCTCCCCGCTCTGCACGGCTCACGCAGCATCCCCCCCCACCCGCCACACCACCTGCTGGAAAGCCGTGGTCCGTTCTTGCTTTCTGGCTTTCCTGCTGAACTAGCTGGGTGCCGTTCGCTTGGTTAAACGTGTAGTTGCTGGCGTATTTTAACAGCCGTTTCAGACATCCCTGCCCGGGGGGCCTTTTCTCCATGTTAACACTGGGGTCCTGTTCTGTTTGCTTCCCCAGCGCTTGACCACGTCCCACCCTGGTGAGCAGAGGGAGACGGTTCTGCAGGCCTACATCAGCAACGACCTCCTGGACTGTCACAGCCACAACCAGGTCAGTAAGCCACGGCCAGAGCCCGGCCAGGCCCTGCGTCCCAGGGAGTGACCTCGGCAGGTGCTGCTCTGCCCAGGTCCGGTGGTGACCGCACGTCCGCCCCGAGCTTCTTGGCTGGTGAGGTCGGCCGTTCACGCCGCACACTGGCCTGCCCTCCGCTTCCAGGAGGAGTCCCGCGCACACTGGAACTGCGTCGTTTCTCTCCTCTCCAGTTCCTAAACCTTTCCCGCCCCCTGCTGCCTACCATGAGCCCTGAAGACGGAGCATGGCTCAGGTTGCACATGGTGGGGGGACACAGACTCAGGCTCAGTAGCTGGGTCTTCCCCGTGACGTTTGTATGTGGCTTTGGACCACAGAGGTATGAACAGAGTGGCATCTGGGGTGAGAGGATCTGGCTGCAGACCTCTGCCCTGCCTGGGAGCCAGGTCATCTGAACGGCCACTCAGCCTCGGAGCTCCCCCAGCCAGGACAAGGAGCCGCCCAGCCCTGGGGCTGTTGGATGATTCCTGCCCTCTCGCTGGGGTTGGCCTGGCCTGGCCCAGCCCCAGGAGTTGCCGCGTTGCGGTTTTCCTGGTCTCTCTTCACCCCCTTACCTGTATTGGCACGAGACTTCACAGGACACCAGGACCTTGAACTTGGCGCATGTATTGCGGATACTGCATCTCTTGACTTGTGCTGAGTTTCTGTCCGGAATGTTCTGAACACCTGAAGCTCCTGTGAAGCTTCGCTGCACCCGAGCATGAGGCTGGTCACACCCTCGTGTGCACCCTGCAGCACCCTGCAGAGCGAAGCGCACGTTGCTGTGTCGCGGGTGCCGCTTGGTTCTTTCACGTAGTCTCATGCTGTCGTGAAAGACTTGTGCTAAGGGTGAGAGTAATTCCATTCTGAGCCTCGCCACACTTCCTGGACCGCAGGATGCGCGTTTTCTCCGCATTCTAACGTCTGTGCAGCCGAGGCGTGGCGTGTCTCACAGGTGTGTTGTAGTTGAATTGGCAGTGGGATTTCCTTTCTTGATTACATTTATTTAAAAAAAAAAACGCCGTGTTCTCTAACGAAGGGCGTCTTAGGATTGGTCGTATGTGGTTTTTATCGGGATGCTGTGGCCTGTGTAGGCATTATGAGTGTGTTTCTTCCTCAAGGTATCGAGTGCTGTGGTTTATTTTTGAGCCGGAGTCCTCACAGGGTGTCTGGGACTCTGGCGGGCGAGAAGACTCCTTGTCTCGTGTGACGTGGGCGCCGGGTCACCATGACACTCACACCCACGCCAGCACCGCAGGGCATCCGACCTCGCAGGAGGGAAGCTGAAACTCCTGCCTCGTCCGCCTGGCTGGGAGGCGCTCGGAGCTCAGCTGAGCCTCATTAAAGTGCAGCCCTCAGGAGGTCGGGGTGGGCCCAGGATCGGCAGGTGCTGCTGGGCCGCCCGGGCCCTGAGAATCGCTGTTCTCTGCAGGGAGACGGCAGCGGGGTCGCAGCGCAGAGCTGCCGCGAGCTGAGTCTGGTGTCGCGTGGCTGCCAGGGGCTGACGGCACTGTGGCCACGTCACCTGTCTAGCATAGCATACACGTCTACGCAGACGCAAGTCCTTCAACCTGAGAAGTAGGGTTCATGCGTTTCAGCCCTAAACCATCGCTCACATAGCTGAGTGTAGAGGACAGTTTCAGGAGTAATAAAGCAAATACTGATTTTCTGTCGCCCGAGTTAAATAGAAATTTAGTATCTCGGAAACTTCTAGATCGTATCCCCTTTCCTTTCGTCAGAAGGTAGCCACAGGGACGGGCATTTAACCTTAGAGTTAAGAGCCCTGTGGCCTCCATCAGAGTGCCCTGGGTTCAGTTCCTGGCTGCAGCTCCTGATTCCAGCTTTCTGCTAATGCAGACTCTGGGGTACAGTGGTAATGGCTCAAGTGACCGCCCCATGGGAGACCTGGATTGCATTCCCGACTCCTGGTTCTAGCCCGAGGCAGCCCCAGCCATTGCAGGCATTTGGGGAGTGAATCAGCAGTTGGGTGCTCTCTCTGCCTCTCAAATCAAGAAAGAAAAAAAAATTACAGTAGAACACATACAACATAAAATGTACCCCCTTAACCATTCTATTTACAGAGAGAAGGAGAGAGAGAGCTTCCATCCACTGGTTCACTCTCCAGGTGGCTTCAGTGGCCAGAGCTGGGCCAGTCCGAGCTTCTTCCAGGTCTTCCAGGTGGCTGCAGAGGCCCAAGGACTTGGGCCATCTTCTGTGCTTTCCCAGACACATTAGTAGGGAGCTGGATCAGAAGTGGAGCAGCTGGGATTTGAACCTGCATCCACATGGGATGTTGGCAGTGCATTGTGACCTGCTACGTCACAGTACCGGGCCCCCTGCTAACCATTTGTAAGTGTACAGTTCAGTGATGCTAAATCCAGTGATAACATGCAGCCGTCACTTCCATCCACCTCCATAAGTAACTCGTCATCTTATAAAACCGAAACTCTGTACCCATCAGGCAGTAACTCCGCATTTCCCCCAGCCAGCCCCTGGCAGTTGGCCTCGACTTCCTGTCTCTGTGATTTGGACCACTCCTAGTACCGCGTGTGAGAGGAATCACACGTGTTTGTCTTTACAGGACTGACTGCCTTCACTGAGCCCGTTGTCTGCAGCGTTCATTCCTGAGTCAGTTTCTTTCCTTTTTGATGCTAACATCCCATTGTGTGGCTGCACCGTGTTTCACTTGTCTCTCTCTGTCTCTCTTTAAGATTTTATTTCTTTGAAAGGAAGAATTAGAAGAGAGAAAGAAAGAGACATACCTTCTATCCACTGGTTCACTCCCCCAAATGTCCACAACAGCCAGGGCTGGGCCAGGCCGAAGCCAGGAGCTTCAGCCAGGTCTCCCACCTGGGGGCAGGGACCCAGGGACTTGAGCCATCTTTTGCTGCCTTTCCCAGGCCATTAGCAGGGAGCTGGATCAGAAGTGGAGCAGGTGGGACTTGAGCCGGCACCCACATGGGATGCTGGCATTGCAGGCAGCTGCTTAACTTGCTATACCACACAGCTGCCCCCCCCCCACTTTTTTTTTTTAATGATTTACTTATTTTTATTTGAAAGGCACAGTTAGAGAGAGAGAGATTTTCCATCCATTGATTTATTCCCCAAATGGCCACAACAGCTGGTCCCGGGCCGGGCTGAAGCCTGGAGCCTGGAACTCCATCTGGGCCTCCCACGTCGGGGGCAGAGTACCAAGCGCTCAGGCCGTCTTCTTCTGCTTTCCCAGGCCATTAGCAGGAGCTGGATTGGCAGTGGAGCAGTCGGGGCTCACTTGAGCCAGCGCTCAGATGGGATGCCAGCGCTGCAGGCAGGGGCCTGACCGCTGTGCCACGGCACTGGCCCTTGCCTGTCTCATCATCCGTGAGTGGACTCGTGGGTCAGCCCCCTGTCGTGAGCAGTGCTGCTGTGATGTGGGTGTGCACGTCCTGACACTTGGGTGAATCCGTTCCTGGCTTTTCCTTACAGTTTCCCTACCCATGTTTGTGTTCACTGAGTCACAGGCACAAACCTCGCCCTGCGGGGAGATGCCGTACCCAGGAGGAGGTGGCTTCATCACGATGGCTGAGCCCTGGTTGGACACAGCTTCCCTGGGCACAGTTCATGCCCCCTCTGGGGACATGGGCAGCCAAGGTCCCGAGAGTCCTGGGAGGCACAGGGCGTCTGGTCATCGGATATGGCTTGTCCGGCGGCGGCATGTATGCCAAGGCCGTGTACGCTCACCGAGGCTACTTCTGGGTCTCTGCGGTTGATCAGACGAGTGCCCCTGTGGGGCTAAAGGACTGTGCACAGCTGATCCACACAGCAGGGTGGGAAATAGGGGCTGGACCCTGGTCAGCGCGTGGCCACGGCTCTCCAAGGGCAGCTGAGAGTCTGGGCTCCTCTCACCCCACAGTTTGTGCTCTGCTTAAAAATATGCTGCGTGAGGCACGACCTTAGTGACATTGACTAAAACTACACACTGTGTCCTAGCAAAGCCACTCCCAGGTAGAAGCCCAATGCAGATGTGTCCATATGGTCCCTAACACATAGGAGAATGTTCATGGCAGCACTACTTACAAGAACCAAAACACTGGGGCGGGCGTTGTGGTGCAGGGAGTCAGCCCACACTCGGAATGCCTGCATCCCGTACAGCAGGGCCTGGTCTGAGTCCTGGCTCCCCTGCTTCTAAACCAGCTTCCTGCTAATACAGCTACGGGGCAGCAGATGATGGCTCAGTACCTGGGTTCCTGCCACCCACATGGAAGACCCAGATGGAGTTGGGCTCCTGGCTTCAGCCTGGCCCAGCCCTGGCTGTTGTAAGCATTTGACAAGTGAACTCACAGATAAAAGATCTCTCTTTTTCTCTGTGTCTCTCCCTCTCTCTCTGTCACTCTCTGCATTTCAAATAAATAATAGCTAAATATTTATTTATTAAGATTTATTTGATTTATTTGAAAGGCAGAGTGAGAGAGAGAGAGAAATCTTCCATCCACTGGTTCATTCCCCACATGGCTTGCAGTGGCCATGGTTGGGCCAGGCTGAAGCCAGGAGCTAGGAGATTTATCCGGGTGCTTTATATGGGTGCAAGGGCCTAAGGACTTGGGCCATCTTCTGCTGCTTTCCTAGGTGCATTAGAAGGGAACTGGATTGGAAGTGGAACAACTGGGACTCAAATGGGCACCCGTATGGGATGCTAGCAGCATTGTAGGTGGCAATTTAACCCATTATGCCACGATGTCAGTCCCCAGTAGCTAAATCTTAAAAAAAAAAAAAAAAAAAAAAAAAAAAGAACCAATACATTGGTGTTACTCGATTCTGTCAACAGTAGAATGGGTACTGTAGCATATTTGTGAAATGGCTCACACTGAGCCATGAGAAGGAACACACAACATAGACCATGCGTGACTCACAAAGTCTATTGGAAAAGGCAGGAAAAAACACATAATGCATGATTTCATTTAGTTGAAGACTCTGATCTGCGGTGACAATGTTACCCTGGGTCTGGGAGGGGTCCCGGCAGGGTCTCTGGGGCTGTGGTCCTGTTCTGTTTCCTGCCTGGCGACTGGTTGCCCACGCATTCACATCGTGCGAACTCATCGAGCCGCGCGCTCACGATCTGTGCGGTTGTCTGTAGGCGTGTTGTACTTCAATTAAAACTTCGCGTAAAGGAAGGTGGCGTAACGGCCGTGGGCACCTGGGGACGACAGGCTTCAGCCTGTCAGCCCTTGTCAGCTCCGGGCATCCTGCACTGGTGGCCTCCGCCCCGGGCGCCCGGCTGCTGCCCAGAACCCCCTGCCCGACCGTCCGTGGGGTCTGGTCACCTGTCCCGCCCTGGATTCCTGTCTCCGCTGTCTGTTCTCTTATTGGTTTGTTCTCTTTGTTCTCCTCTGGGGGTCTCCTGGTCTCTGGGTTCTGGGTTCTCGTTTGCGTTGATTGCAGAGCGCTCTTACTTCGTGGGCCCAGTGCAGTTCCTTTTCTCTCAGAGGGCTTCGGTGACGCGCTCCTGTTGAGTTTTCGTTTTCCTCTCCCTGCGCCGTCTCATTTCCTTGGAGGTGCCTCTTTCCTGCCATCACTTTGTCCGTTTTCTGCGTCGGAAGCTTACCTGGCTGTCGGGTGGTCCGGGGGAACCCGCCATCGACACGAGGGGGGCTGTGAGCCCATTGGAGTTCCGGGTGTGAGGGCGGGTCTGTCCACACAGACAACCCGAGTGGGATCCGGGGCACGTGGACTGGGAGCCTTGGGTTTCGGGGTCTCTAGTTTTGCTCATTTTGCCCTGATCTTGCCATCTCCCGCCCGGAGGGCAGGGGCCTTGCTGCTGGTGCTCTGGGAGCGCTCGTTGTGCAGTGAGGCCTGCCCCCTCCACGCAGGGCCAGAGCCGGCTCGCCTGTGCCTGGGCCCCAGCACAGAGACCCTCTGCGTCTCACAGGAGCACACAGCCCTTCCTGCGTGGGGAAGTGTGGGCAGCAGGATGCTGGGCCCAGCACAGAGACCCTCTGCGTCTCACAGGAGCGCACAGCCCCTTCCCGGGTGGGGAGGTGTGGGCAGCAGGGTGCTGGGCCCAGCACAGAGACCCTCTGCGTCTCACAGGAGTGCACAGCCCCTTCCTGTGTGGGGAGGTGTGGGCAGCAGGATTCTGGGCCCAGCACAGAGACCCTCTGCGTCTCACAGGAACACACAGCCCCCTCCTGCGTGGGGAGGTGTGGGCAGCAGGATGCTGGGCCCAGCACAGAGACCCTCTGCGTCTCACAGGAGTGCACAGCCCCTTCCTGCGTGGGGAGGTGTGGGCAGCAGGGTGCTGGGCCCAGCACAGAGACCCTCTGCGTCTCACAGGAACACACAGCCCCCTCCTGCGTGGGGAGGTGTGGGCAGCAGGATGCTGGGGCCCAGCACAGAGACCCTCTGCGTCTCACAGGAGTGCACAGCCCCTTCCTGCGTGGGGAGGTGTGGGCAGCAGGATGCTGGGGCCCAGCTGCCACTCCAACAACTCCTGCTCTTTCATCTTTGTGTTCCCAGCTCTCGGGCCTCTCAAAGGAAAAGTGATAGGAACTCGCCGCCGCCTCCATGCCCACTGCCGCCCTGAGACTCGGCTTGCAGTGTGTGGGCCCTCTCAGCCCGCTGGCGTTCCGCACCCTGGCTCCCCGAGGTGCGGCGGTGGCCCGGTCTCCCATGCTTCCCTCTCAGTCCTTGAGTGTGTGTCTTACTGTAGGCTTGCCGGGCTCTGGAGGGGGCAGAGCCAGATGCGCGTGTTGGAGCCGCCCAGAACCTGGACACACAGCCTGGGCAGCACAGCAAACAGCCCTGCTCCCCGTGTGCCGGCCCTGGCTCTCAGGGCTTGGCATTGTTAATCCACTCGGTACAGAGGAGCTGCTTCTCGCCAAGTCTCGTCAGACGTCGACGGGAGATGGAGACTCACAGATGAAACGCTGGGCTTCAGCCTGTTTGTTCCACCCCGCATGAGACCAGAGAAGAGGAGGAGCAGACGGTGTGGGAGGCACCCGCTCCCTCTGCCTGGCCTCACCCCCGGTCTTTCCCGTCCCCCTGTCCCCACAGAGGAGCGTGCTGCAGCTGCTGAACTCCAAGAGCGAGGCAGTACGCCAGTACATGGCCAGGCTCATCAACGCCTTCGCGTCACTCGCCGAAGGTGAGACGTCAGCCTGGAACAGCGTCCAGGTGGTTTCCAAAGTACGACTTTTCCCCCCATAACCTCTCTCCCACCCGCAACCATCCCATCTCCCACTCCCTCTCCCATCCCATTATTCTTTATGATTCATTTTCAATTATGTTTATATACAGAAGATCAGCTTAGTATATACTAAGTAAAGATTTCAACAGACTGCACCCACAAAGACACACAAAGTATAGCATACTGCTTGGGTAGTACTTGTACTGTTAATTCGCATAGTACAACACATTAAGGACAAAGATCCTGCATGGGGAGCAGGTGCACAGTGACTCCGGTTGTTGATTTAACAATTGACACTCTTATTTATGATGTCAGTGATCACCCAAAGCTCTTGTCATGAGCTGCCAAGGCTATGGAAACCTCTTGAGTTCACCAACTCCAATCTTATTTGACAAGGTCATAGTCAAAGTGGAAGTTCTCTCCTCCCTTCAGAGAAAGGTACCTCCTTCTTTGATGGCCTGTTCTTTCCACTGGGATCTCACTCACAGAGATCTTTCATTTAGGTCATTTTTTTTTGCCACAGTTTCATGGCTTTCCATGCTTGTGAAACTCTCATGGGCTTTTTAGCCAGATCTGAATGCCTTAAGGGCTGATTCTGAGGCCAGAGTGCTGTTTAGGACATTTGCCATTCTATGAGTCTGCTGTGTATCCTGCTTCCCATGTAGGATCATTCTTTCCTTTTTAGTTCTATCAATTATTATTTGCAGACAGTGGTCTTATTTATGTAATCCCTTTGACACTTAATCCTATCTTTTTGATTAATTATGAACTTAAACTGATCACTTTAACAACTAAGGTGGCATTGGTACATGCCACCTTGGTGGGATTGAATTGGAATCTCCTGGTATGTTTCTAGCTCTACCGTTTGGGGCAAGTCCAATTGAGCATGTCCCAAATTGTACATCTTCTCCCTCTCTTATTCCCACTCTTATATTTAACAGGGATCACTTTTCAGTTAATTTTAAACGCCTAAGAATAATTGTGTGTTAATTAAAGAGTTCAACCGATGGTATTAAGTAAAACAGACAAAAAAAATACTAAAAGGAATACAATAGTAAATTGTTCCTCGACAGTCAGGACAAGGGCTGATCAAGTCACTGTTTCTCATAATACCAGTTACTTCTACAGGTTTCCTTTTAGGTGCTCAGTTAGTTGTCACCGATCAGGGAGAACATATGATATTTGTCCCTTTGGGACTGGCTTATTTCACTCAGCATGATGTTTTCCAGATTCCTCCATTTTGTTGCAAATGACCAGATTTCATTTTTTTTTTACTGCTGTATAGTATTCTATAGAGTACATATCCCATAATTTCTTTATCCAGTATTTTGTTGATGGGCATTTAGGTTGATTTCATGTCTTAGCTATTGTGAATTGAGCTGCAATAAACATTGAGGTGCAGAGAGCTCTTTTATTTGCCAATTTAATTTCCTCTGGGTAAATTCCAAGGAGTGGGATGGCTGGGTCATGTGGTAGGGCACGGGTTTCCCGTGTATCACGGCGACAGCCACTGGAGGTCTTTCACCACAGCAAGTCTGGGTGGTTTCAGAGGAAGCTGTGTGCGTTTGCTCTGCAGGTGCCCTGGCTTTGTGCTGGTCCTTTTAGATGCCTTCAGGTGTGTGATGGGTAGTGCATTGCGGGGGTTTCCTGGAAAGGCAGAGTCAGGTCAGTGAGCCAGCTAAAGCTGGTTCCGGTGAGTGCTGCTCTGGCTTCCTCTGAACGACTGTACCCACTTAAAGGATTTGGAGAGGCCAGAAATAACCTGCTACCGCAAGGGAATCAAGATGATTTTACAAAACGCCATCATTTTCCCTACGGTCTCAGTTGAGCTCTTCTACAACACAATTCAGAGTTGTTTTCGTGTTGTGAATTTGTGATATTCTAGAAGTTTACTCATTCGTTTGTTTCTCTTTGCAGCCATCTGGCAATGATTTATTACGAGCCACGGTATGGGCCGGGCCATTTGAGTAATAACGCTGTTGAAACTCACATTTGAAATTAGCATCTTTCATATCAACACAGAAGTCCACACCAGGCCAGTGACCGTTCTAGGTTTGCCGCAGGTTCCCCCTTCTCCAGCCCTGGCCATGTCTGGAGGGAACAGGGGGTGTGGCCAGGCCACAGGGCTCCTAAGACACAGATTTCCTCCTTGCTGACCCGACTGTCAGGCCTAGGATTCAGGCACCTAAAGGACGTGCTTCCCCCAAGAACATGGCATTGAATTACTTTCAGCTCACAATGGGAATGGTTTCCAATTCAGCAGCTGGTTGATTGAATAAAACCAACTTTTTAGAACAAATGTGGGTTTTTTTTAGGATGTTATTTTTTTATTTTAGAGTCAGAGTTACTGAGAGAAGGAGAGAGAGACAGAGACAGAGGTCTCCCATCTGTAGGTTCACTCCCCAAATGCCTGCAATGGTTGGAGCTGAGCCGATCCGGAGCCAGGAGCCAGGAGCTTCTTCCAGGTCTCCCACGTGGGTGTAGGGGCCTAAACACTTGGATCATCTGATGCTTTCTCGGGCGCATTAGCAGGGAGCTGGATCAGAAGCGGAGCAGGGGCCAGCACTGTAGCATAGCAGGTAAGGCCGCCACCTGCAGTGCTGGCATCCCACGTGGGCACTGGTTCAGGTCCTGGCTGCTGCACTTCCGATCCAGCTCTCTGCTGTGGCCTGGGAAGGCAATGGAGGATGGCAAGTCCTTGGGCCCCTGGACCCATGTGGGAGAACCTGGAGAAATCTGGCTCCTGGCTTCAGATCAGAGCAGCTCCAGCCGTTGCGGCCAATTGGGGAGTGAACCAGTGGATAGAGGACACCCCCTCTTTCTCTCCCTCCCTCTCTCCCCCTCCCTCCCTCTGCCTCTGCCTCTCCTTCTCTCTGTAACTCTGACTTTCAAATAAATAAATAAATCTTTAAAAAAAAAAAAAAAGAAGAAGAAGAAGTGGAGCAGCCGAGACTCACACCAATGCCCGTGAGATGCCGACGTCACAGGTGGCGGCTTTACCCACTGCTGCGCCAGCCCCAAGAAACGTGTTTTGCTGAGTGTTGCAAAATGTAAATGACCAAGCCCTGCTGTTGCCGGCAGCATTTGCCTAGCAAGTGGAGTTGGGGTGCACCGGGGCCCCTGCACCTCTCACCGTCTCTTCTCTGCTTGTCAGGGCGCCTGTACCTTGCCCAGAACACGAAGGTGCTGTGGTTGCTGGAGGGGAGGCTGAAGGAGGAGGACAAGGACGTCATCGCCCGGGAGAACGTCCTCGGGGCCTTGCAGAAGTTCAGCCTCAGGTGAGGACCACTGTGTGCTGTGACAGCTCGGGAGGCAGGTGGGGCTTCCCCGAACCCCAGGAAAGGATGAGGCTGGAAGCTTCGCTGTGCACCCCGCTCGAGGCTGCAGGGCTGGCGGAAGACTTAAAGGCAGCCTGGTCGCCTGCTGGTGGACGACCTGGGCCAGCCAGGTGTGCTCGCGTCTCCACCTGCACCCCAAGGTTAGACGAGCCTGGCCGAGCCCCAGCCTTGCTGCTGCCCGGTCCCTGGTGCGAGCTGTGCCCCAAATGAGCCGTCACAGGAGGGCGGGCGGGGTGGGCCTGTGGGCGTCCTGGCTGCGGGTCCACACGTCCAGCAGCCCAGGAGCGACCCCGCGTCTTGGCCTGGACCCGGTTACAGCTTGGGACAGCTCCATATCAGGAATCTAAAATCAGACACTTCCTGAACCAGTCCTGGTATCCTTCCAGAACTTTCCTTTTAATTGGCGGCTTCTTAAATTGTTTTGAATGCTATAAAACTCAGCCATTTCAAGTGTATACTTCAGTGCCTTTCAGTAACTGTCCGGAGGCGGGCAGCTGTGGCACAGTGGCATCGTGGCGCCTTTCTGCCACCTCAGAGAGAAACCTCAGCCCCATTTAGTCACTCCTCCTCCGAGCCCCAGCCCCAGGGCCCCCGAGCCCCCTGCTGTCGGTCAGCCGCTGCTGGACACCCACTTGGGTGGACTCCTGTTATGTGTGTGTGCCTGCTCCTGACCCTGTGCGCCTGCTCCTGGCCCTGTGCGCCTGCTCCTGGCCCTGTGCGCCTGCTCGTGACCCTGTGCGCCTGCTCGTGGCCCTGTGCGCCTGCTCCTGACCCTGTGCGCCTGCTCCTGGCCCTGTGCGCCTGCTCGTGACCCTGTGCATCTGCTCGTGGCCCTGTGCGCCTGCTCGTGACCCTGTGCGCCTGCTCCTGGCCCTGTGCGCCTGCTCCTGGCCCTGTGCGCCTGCTCCTGGCCCTGTGCGCCTGCTCGTGACCCCGTGCGCCTGCTCGTGGCCCTGTGCGCCTGCTTGTGACCCTGTGCACCTGCTCGTGACCCTGTGCGCCTGCTCCTGACCCTGTGCGCCTGCTCCTGGCCCTGTGCACCTCCTCCTGTCCCTGTGCACCTGCTCCTGGCCCTGTGCACCTGCTCCTGGCCCTGTGCACCTGCTCCTGACCCTGTGCATCTGCTCGCGGCCCTGTGCACCTGCTCATGGCTGAGCAGCTCTGCATTCTGTGGGTGCACTGTGTTTTATTCATCTGCTCGTCAGCTGGTAGCTGTTTGAGTTGTTCTCACTTTCCATCTGTTACCCATGATGCTGCTGGGAACACTTGTGTGCAAGTCTGTGTGGGCCTTCAGATTGTTCATGGGAAGTGGCATTGAAAGATCCATTTGGCCTAGGGGTGAGGCCACTGGGTCAGAGGCCGGTGTCCCACATCAGAGAGCCTGAGTTTGACCAGGCATCAGCTACCAGACTGCAGCATCCTGCAGTACGGACCCTGGCAGGCAGCAGGTCAGGGCTCACACAGCTGGGCCCCTGCCCAGCCGCGTCGGGGACCTGGATGGCGTTCCCAGCTCCTGGCTTCAGCAAGGCCCAGCCTTGGCTGCTGTAGGCTTCTGGGGCATGAAACGGCAGACAGATTCTCTGCCTCTGTGTGTCCGTGTCTCTCTCTTTGTCTCTCAAGTACATTTTTTAAAAAAGGGTTTATTTTGGTGCAAAAATATTTTGAGATCCATGCAGTTTCTTCACAATATGCATTTTCCATGAACTTGACGTCCTTTGCCTTCACCTGGGTTTTAGCTGTCGTCCCTCAGAGAGAGCCACCTCACTTTCTCTGCCTTTATTAAGACTCCTGGGGCAGGCATGGTGGCTCCGCTGGTTAAGCCGCCTGTCAGGGTGCTGGGTCAAGTCCTGGCTACTCCACACTTCCGATCCCGCTTCTTGCCAAGGCTCCTGGGGGGCAGCTCCAGGGTCGTTACCTCCTCAGACCCTGTGCGCATTTCATTCTTGCTTGTCTGCAGGGGTGGGGAAGGTTTTTTGCAGTCAAGGGCCATGTGGCCATGAGCCATGCAAAACTATCAGCTTAGAAGTGAGCCTGCCATAGATTAATTGAATTTCGAGCCCTGCCTGCAGCTGCCTTGGCAGGGCCAGGCCAGATGACGTCACACCGCTGCTGTGCAGTGATAAGTGGTTGCTGACCACACTGGGGAGGCTAACTGCAGTGAAGCAGCAGGTGTGAGACGCAGGGAGGAAATAGTTATTCTGGGTAAGGCAGACATCGTTCTCCCCCAGGGAGCAGCCGAGCCCTGGAGAGCGTGGGGAGTGCGCGCTCCGTGGCCAAGAGCAGCCCCACGGCTCCTTGTTCGCCACACTCCCGCAGGCGGCCGTGCTGTGCTAACCTGTCACCAGTGCTGGCCCCCTCCCAGTGCTTGGGTTTGCAGGCAATGCAGTGGCTTCTCCTGGCGTGACCTTGCTCAGTGTCGTCCATTCCGAGGGCTGACGTGATGCCGGTGACCGTGGTGGGCTGGGTCGCGCGTCCTGAGACTCTGCAGCTGGCCTCTGTGTGTTGCCCAGCACAATGAGCTTCCTGGCCCCTGCTGTGCAGATCTGAAGCAGAGCACGCCGCACTGGGGTTTTACTGTCTCTCTTTCTTTTCTTTTGTTTGTTTTATTTGAAAGGCAGAGCCACAAAGCGGGGGGGGGGGGGGGGGGGAGGCAGGGGAGAGAGAGAGAGAGAAAGAGAGGTGTCTTCCATCTGCTGGTTCACTGCCCAAATGGCCGCAACCGCCGGAGCTGGCCTGATCCAAAACCCGGAGCCAGGAGCTTCTTCCGGGTCTTCCACGTGGGTGCAGAGGCCCAAGGATTTGGGCCATCTTCTACCTCTTTCCCAGGCCATAGCAGAGAGCTGGATCAGAAATGGAGCAGCCAGGACTCGAACTGGCACCCGTATGGGATGCCGGCACTGCAGATGGTGGCATTCCCTGCTACGCCACAGCGCCGGCCCCTAAGATTTATTTCTTTATTTGAAAAGTAGAGTTACAGAGAGGGAGGGAGAGAGGTCTTCCATCTGCTGGTTCACTTCCCAGATGGCCACAACGGCAGTGGCTGGGCCAGGCCAAAGCCAGGAGTCTGAAAGTCCCCCTGGTCTCCCATGTGGGTGCAGGGCCCAAGCAAGCACCTGGGCCATTTCTGCTGCTTTGCCAGGCCGTAGCAGAGAGCTGGATCGGGAGTGGAGCAGTCGGGACTAAGCCGGCACTCACATGGGTGCCGTGTCACTGGCAGTGACCTTAGCTGCCACCCCCAATTCTGCTAGTTTTGTGTACAGAAAAGGAAACTTTCAGAGTAGGAGGCCTCCTTCTGGTTTCTCTTTAACCCCTTGGTAGCGCCCTGAAGCATAGGGCTTGCTGTTTCCGTAGCGTGGTTTAACCGTGAAAAGCTTCTCCGGCCGAGGCATCTGTGCAGCCTGAGTCTCTGGTCGGCGCGGCCTGACTGCGCTCTGAGTGGGGCAGGGCCCCTGGTGTTCACATCGCCCTCTCTGTCACACCAGGCGTCCGCTGCAGACAGCCATGATTCGGGACGGCCTCATCTTCTGGCTGATCGACACCCTGAAGGAGCCCGACTGCCTGTCCGACTACACGCTCGAGTACTCCGTGGCTTTGCTGATGAACCTCTGCCTGCGCAGCGCAGGTCTCAGGGCCCCGCCCCTCCCTCACTGCTGGCTCTGGGTGGAGGGGACGCATCCTGACCCCGGAGCCTCGATGCCCAGCGAGTCTCGCTGCCCTGGCCCCCGGAGGACAGGCGGACGCCGCGGTACCAGCGTGGCAATGGAAAGAAGGGGTGTTTGTACCCGTGGCGCCCACCGTAAGGGGACGTTCCACTTGTCTGCATTCTCCCTCGTCACCATTGCGTTATTCAAAGTTAGGAAGTCAAGGGTTGCGATCCCTCCCCTAAGACCGAGGGGCGTGCGCCCCTGGGTCCCCGGGGTTGTGTTGGTGGCGGAGCAGTGAGGGTAGAGCCTGCGGCACCGCAAGTCACTCGCAAGGTTGATCGGTAAAGGTATCACACGCCCCACCGACACCATCCGCGACCCGGACTGGAAGAAGCTTCTTCGGAAGCAGTGCCACACGCAGCGTGAGCGGTGTCGGGAGGATGCCGGATCTGGCTCCAGCGCAGGGCTCCGTGCTCTTCACCCATGCGCTGCTGAGAGCTTCCGGCTCAGAGGTCAGCGTGCGCAGGCAGGCCTGGCTGCCCATCCCCGGCCAGGCTGCGGTCAGCTTCCTCGCTGCCACCGGTGTCGTTGCAGTGGTGGTGACGCCGGGGTTTGGAACCCCTGCGAGGCCCGTGCACACTGGGGGGGGCGGCCCGCGCACTGGGGAGGTGGCGCCTGGCCCTGGAGCACGCCACCCCGCCTGTGCCATCCCTGCGGCGACGGCCACCACTTCCCCGTCAGCTTTTGAGGTGGGTCTTGACAGTCTGCTTCCAAGAGGAGGGAGCCGAGGCAGAGTGGTTAAGTGTCTCGCCCAAGGTCGCACAGTGATAGGCAAAGGAGCCGAGTCTGCCTGACCTAAAACCGCTCCCGAGTTCGGCGCGTCACGTTTTGTCTCGTTTCGTCTTGTGTCTGTAGGGAAGAACATGTGTGCCAAGGTGGCGGGCGTCGTGCTGAAAGTTCTTTCAGATCTGCTTGGCCACGAGAACCACGAGGTACTCAGTGCTGCTCACCTGGGCTTGGGAGGTGCTGGGGAGGGGGGCCTGGGCGCAGGTGACTGCCCGGGCACGGGGCTGGCCGGGGATGTCGCCGCATTTGGAAAACAACCCTGCCTGCAGTTTCTTATAAGTGTTTTGTTTTTGAATCTTTCATTATTTTTAAAATTATGGAGCTCAAAAGCAAGGAGTTGTTCCTTTACTCATCATTAAAAAAAAAAAAAACACCTTAAATGTAAATTTTTTTTTAATTTGAGGGGCAGAGACAGATGGGCAGAGAGAGATCCCCCGTCCCCTGATTCACTCCCCAAGTGCCTGCAACAGATGGCTCTGCACAGGTCTGAAGCCAGCAGCTTGGAATGCAGTCCACGTCTCCCGTGTGGGTGTCAGGAACCTGATTACTGCGCCTCACCACTGCCTCCCAGTCTGCGTTACCAGGAAGCCGGAGTCGGGAGGCGGAACTGGGAACTGAACCCAGTGCTCTGACTGGGACACAGGCATCCCAGCCGGTGTCTCGGCTGCCAGCCCTTCACCGCGCGGCTGCTGGCACCCTGTCCCCCTTGTGTGGCTGGGTCCCCATCGGGCCTCCCTTTCTCCTGGGCCTCTAGTCTTGCTCCTTCCTGCCAATACCAACACCCAATCCTGGTGTGGAATTAGAAGATAAGATTCTCTGATACAAAGAAAAGTTGAAAGCCATGGTTTTTCTAATGAAAAGTTCATTGAAAGTGTACATCGTGAAAAAAACTATGCATACAATTCAACTTTTTTTTTGAAGGTTTATTTATTTGAAAGGCAGAGTTACAGAGAAGCAGAGGCGGATAGAGAGAGAGAGGTCCAGATGGCCACAACAGCTGGAGCTGGGCAGATCCAAAGCCGGAAGCCAGGAGCTTCCAGGTCTCCCACGCGGGTGCAGGGGCCCAAGCACTTGGGCCATCTTCTGTGGTTTCCCAGGTGCACCAGCAGGGAGCTGAATCGGAAGTGGAGCAGCTGGAACTCAAACCGGCGACCACATGGGATGCCAGGCCCGCAGGTGGCAGCTTCACCCGCTACACCCTAGCGCCAGCCCCTTGAGATTTTTTTAAAGTAAACATCCTTTCATTCTACTCGCCCATGAACCTTTTGAATCCCCTTGGTACGTCCGTGGATGTGTTTGCAGCCTTCAGATCTCAGGGTACCGTGTCCTGTGTGCTTGATTGGCAGAAATGGCAACTCCCCTGTGTGACTTTCCCCTGTGCGAGGGCCTCCCAGGTGGCCTTCTAGTTCATTCATTGCACCCCTGCCGTGTCACCTGTCCAGACCTTCAAGGTGGACACTTGGGTTGCCTTGGGCTCTGCTGCCATACTGGCCCCCAGTGGACAGCAGTGCCCATGCCGCTCGGGAGCCTGTGCCGGTAGACACTGAGCGCTGCCGGCCCCCGCCTAACTCGGGCTCGGGTCACTGTCAGTTTGGCAGATGGTAAAAGTGATGGTGAAGTGTGGCACTGGGGCAAAGTGGTGGGCGGGGAGCACGCAGTCCCCTGAGAAGGGGCCTCTCACTCACCCAGCCCCTGCCGTGGACCCTGTCCTGGCTGCTGGGTTCCCTGTGTAAGTAAGCTCCTTCCTCAGAGGTCGCCTGATGGAGGTGACACCGTGGAGGAGGCGTTGACGCAGTGGCTGCCACCATTCGGATGCCCACAGAGTGCCTAGGTTCGAGTCCCCACTCCTCTCCTGATTCTAGCTTCCTGATGCTGTACACCCAGGCAGGCAGAGGGATAGTTCAAGTGTTTGGGCCCCTGCCCCCATGTGGGATACTTGGATTTAAGTTCCTGGCAGGTGAGGCCAGCACTGTGGTACAGTGGGTTAAGCCGCCGCCTGCGACTCCAGCATCCCACATGGATGCAGTTCAATCCCCAGCTGCTCCACTTCCGATCCAGCTCCCTGCTGTGGCTGGGAAAGCAGTGGAGGATGCCCACGTGCTTGGACCCCTCATCCACGTGGGAGACCTGGAAGAAGCTCCTGGCTTCTGTTGCAGCCCTTTGGGGTATGAACCAGCAAATGGAAGATCTCTCTCTCTCTTCTTTTTCTCTGCCTTGTTCTCTGTAACTCTGCCTTTCAAATAAATAAATCTTTTTTTTTAAGATTTTATTTATTTATTTGAGAGAGAGTTACAGACAGTGAGAGGGATAGAGAGAAAGGAACTTTAAAGGTTTCTTTTAAGAAGATTTATTTATTGAGGCCGGTGCTGTGGTGCAGTAGGTTAGTCCTTGGCCTGCTGCGCCGGCATCCCGTATGGGCACAGGTTTGTGTCCCGGATGCTCCTCTTCCAGTCCAGTTCTCTATTGTGGCCTGGGAGAGGAGTAGAAGATGGCCCAGGCACTTGGGCCCCTGCAGCCATGTAGGAAACCTGAAGAAGCTCCTGGCTTCGGATCGGCCCAGCTGCAGCCTTTGAAGCCACTTGAGGAGTGAGCCAGCGCATGGGAAATCTCTCTCTCTCTCTCTCTCTCTCTCTCTCTCTCTCTCTCTCTCTCTCTCTCCACTCCCCACCTTTCAAATAAATTAACAAATTTTTAAAAATAAATAAAAAGCCACTGACTCTGGGACAGTAGTGGGAGGAAGTACAGGAAGCAGATGTGAGAGTCCTATCTGGAGGCGCCCAGAGAAGCTTCCGGGAGACACCTCGGGGCTGTGGGAAGAGTGAGTCCAGCGAGGCGGACAGCAGGCACCTGGGCCAAGGCGTGAGACAGCCTTGTGGGGGCGGGTCCCTTGAGTGTGGTTTGGGCTTCATGGAGGGGTCCTGGGTGCTGTACAAGGAGCTAGGACTGTGCAGCTGGGCCCTGTGGGAGGTGTCTGAGATGGGGAGGAGGAGGCTCTGGCCGTAGTAGTAGAATTTTGGTGGTGATGGCTGAGTGAAAGGGCGAATGTCAAGTGTGGAGAGACCAACTTGGAGATTTGCCATGGTCTGGGTTGTGGACGCTGGCGTCTGAGCAAGGAACAGTGGCAGTGGATATGGAGAAGAAGGGTGGCTGCCTCTGGGACAGGCTGCGCGGGACACCTGCATCCCATGTCCAGTGCCTGGGTTCAGGTCCCAGTGCCAATCCCGGCTTCCTGCTGATGCACACCCTGGGGGGCAGCAGTGGTGGCTCTGCTACTCGGCTCCCTGCCACCAATATGGGAAACCCGGAAGGAGTCTGGGCTCCTGTCTTCAGCCTGGCTCAACCTTGACCATTGTGGGCCGTCGGGGAGTGAACCAGCAGACGGAAGATCTCCCTTTTGTCTGTCTGCCTGTCTCTGCATCTCTGCCTTTCAAATTAAAAAAAAAAAAAAAAAAAAGTAAATAAAGAGTTTGTATTTTAAAAAACGAAGAGTTCCTTTCAGACAGCTTGCGGAGTAACAGCAACAGCAGTGACGTGGGAGTTCCGGCCTGTGTGACTGAGGTGGGCGGGGTGTGCAGAGTTGATTGACAGGGAAACGAGCCCAGTGAAGTGCAGCGGGAGGAAGCCCAGGGAGGGCTGGCGAGTCCGGCGTTGGGCCCTCGGCTGTGGCTGTCGCTGGGACCTGCCAGTGGGGACGCCCATCATTGGGAAACCTGCGTCTTGGAGGCGAGCAGAGTTCTGCTGCCCACTCACTGGCCAGATTGGCGGAAGCCTGGTGTCGCAGTGGACCTGGGGGCTCCTGCAGCCGTGCTGATGGTGTTTCCTCTCCCCTCGCAGATCCAGCCCTACGTGAACGGCGCTCTCTACAGCATCCTCTCTGTCCCCTCCATCCGTGAGGAGGCGCGAGCCATGGTAAGCGTGTGCTTGAGAAATGGGGCGCGACCAGAGCTGTTAGGGCGGGGGCTGCCGTGGCTGGGCCCTGTGGAAGCATCCGGAGAGTTGACGAATGCCCTGGAATTACACCCGAGGTACGTGTGTGGTTCCTGGAGGGAGTGCCCGGCCCTTCCGTCAGATTCCTAGGGATCCCTAACTCCTGAACGAGCAGGAACCCCAGGGTTTATTTTTGCAAAGCTGGGGACACTCTGGTGGCCGCCAGCGGAACAGCAGAGCTGATGAGGGTTTCAAAGCTGCCGAGCGTTGGACTGGGTCCGGGAGGAGTTTGATTTAGCGTGTTTGCTTTGGTACTCACACTTGGAGAAATAAAGTAAAACTCGGGTGCTTCGTGGCTTACTTTAGCGGGACAGGTGTTTCTAGATGTAACCCAGAGACTACCGCCGTTTTATTCTTTATCCGCTCACCACGTGGAACCAGGTTCACAGAGTGAGGATTAGATGCCGCGCTGAAAGGATTGAGTGACTGCCACAGGCAAAGCACAGGCGAAACTACCACTGAGATGAGACTGGCAAAACATTTTTGTGATTGATTTTGGTAACTTCTAAGAATTGCTAAATCTTCTGGTTGCGCAGCAGGTTGAGCTCCCGTTCCGTATCAGAGTGCCTGGTTGGAGTCCTGGCTGCCCCTCTTCTGAGCCAGCTCCCTGCTGATGTACCTGGGAGGCATCAGAGGATGGCTCAAGTCCTTGGGCCCCTGCCCTCGTGTGGGGGCCTGGAATGAGTTCCTGGCTCCTGACTTTGACCTGGCTCAGCGCTGGCTGTTGCGTGCATTTGGGGAGTGAACCAGAGGATGGAAGCTCGGTTTCTCTCTCTCCCTCTTTCATTCTGCCTTTCAAATAAATAAATAAGTCTTTTTAAAATAAATACAGTTATGTCAGAGATAAAGACTTATTTAAAATCCATTCCATGTGATCACACTAAACAATGGAACTTAACTACTTGCTACTTTTTTGAAGATTTGTTTTTTTAATATTTAAAAAATTTATTTATTTGAGAGGTAGAGTTACAGACAGAGGGAGAGACAGAGAGATCTTCCTTCTGTTAGTTCACTCCCCAGATGGCTACAACAGCCGGAGCTGTGCCAATCTGAAGCCAGGAGCCAGGAGCCAGGTGCTTCTTCCCGGTCTCCCACGTGGGTGCAGGGGCCCAAGCACTTGGGTCATCTTCTACTGCTTTCCAGGCCACAGCAGAGAGCTGGATTGAAAGAGGAGCAGCCAGGACTAGAACCGGTGCCCATTTGGGATGCCGGTGCCACAGGTGGAGGATTAACCTACTACGCCATGGCACCGGCCCCTAATTATTTGAGAGGCAGAGACTGACAGAGAGATCGTCCATCCGCTGGTTCACTCCCCAAGTGGCTGCAACAGCTGGAGCTGTGCTGATCTGAAGCCAGGAGCCTGGAGCTTCTTCCAGGTCTCCCATGCAGATGCAGGGGCCCAAGGACTTGGGCTGTCTTCTGCTTTCCCAAGGCATAGCAGAGAGCTGGATCGGAAGTGAAGAAGCCGGGACTTGAACCGGCGCCTGTATGGAATGCCGGCACTGCAGACTAGGGATTTAACTCGCTGCAGCACAGCGCCGGCTCCCTGCTAGTTTTGAATCAGAAGTCTGCCCGTTCCGTACGGAGCAGGAGAAAATAAACGAGATTCCATTCTGCACTGTGGTCATTAGGTGAAGGAGGCAGCGTGGAGGCAGAGGCTGGGCGAGTGGGAGGGACAGCGGCCAGGCGAGGAAAGTCACACACAGGTGCAGGCCCCTTCCTTCCACCTTTCTCCTTCCTGGCCCAGGCAGCAGGAAGGAAGGGGGCTGCATGGCCGTAGCAGGAGGTCTGAGAAGTCGCAAAAGAGGAGAGAGAGAGAATGGCGCAGAAAAAAGGCTGACCACGTGATGAAGTCGGGTGAAAACCAAGCCTAGCAGTGAAGTAGCCAGGAAGCCCTCAGAGGTTTGGAAATCAAACAGCACCTACCTGTTCTGCATCACAGATCGCCCCGACACGGCGGTGGCTTACAAAGTTTTTAGGTGATTTCTTAGTTTCTGTGGGCAGGCGCGCACGAGCAGATAGCTGGGCGGCCCGACTCAGTGTCTCAGGCTGTGCGGGAGGTCGGTCAGGGCAGCAGCTAGCCGCGGACCAGGCCTGGAGGATCCGTGTCCGAGCTCACTCACGTGCCTGGAGCCCGAGGCCCCAGCTCGTGGCCGTTGGCTGGGCACCGCCTCTCCTCGCTGTGCGGCTCTGCATAGGGCGGCTCCCTGAGCGAGGGTCCCGGAGGGAGCCAGGTGGGAGCGGCAGTGTCCTGGAGGTCCTGCTCGCGGAAGTGGCACCGTCACTGCCGGGCTGTTGGTGGCACTGACCAGCACCGTGGGGAAAGGGCCAGCCAGGAACAGGAGGCCAGGGGGCGGGGTCCTGGGGCCACACCTCTCTAAGTAACCTTTGGGTCTAAGAAAGACTCATTTCAAAAACAAAACAAAGAAAAACTGGAGGCCTCCCTGAGGCATTTTAACAGGGATCGAAACCCCACGCTGGGGGCCAGCGCCTGCAGCAGTGGCATCCCGTGTAGGCATCTGTTTTGAGTCCCAGCTGCTCCTCTTCCAGTCCAGCTCCCTGCTCATGCACCTGGGAAGGCAGTGGAAGACGGGCCCAGTGCTTGGGCCCCTGCAGCCACGTGGGAGACCCACATGAAGCTCCTGACTCCTGGCTTCAGCCTGGCCCAGCCCTGGCCATTGGGGCCCTCTAGGGAATGACCGGTGGCTGGAACATCTCTCCCTCTGTCTGACTCTACCTTTCAGAGAAATAAAAATTAAATATACATGTTCAGAAAATCCTAAGCTGACCCCTAGCCGCCTCAGCCTGAGTGGGGAAAACTTTGAGACACAGCCCTAGGCAGCTGCCTGTTTAACTACGTTCGTAAGAGGGGTTCCACCAGCGCATGGAAGACCTCTCTGCCTCTCCTTCTCTCTGTGTGTCTGACTTTCAAATAAATAAATAAATCTTTAAAAAAAAAAAAAAGATAAGTGGTATACTGTATACCATTAAAAGAAAAAGTGGTTCCAAAGGGATGATTGTGGCCGCAGAGAGACTGGTCTAACCCCAAGGCTTCCCTCACCCCACTGCCGTCCTCAGGGAGGTTTTAAGGCTCATAAAGCCTTTGGGTCTCACGTCGGGGCATCTGCTTGGCACAGTCCGGGTTGTGTGCTGTTGCTTAGCAACAGACAAGGGCCGGGATGCTGACTGATAAACAAGGCAACCTGGACAGCATCAGCCGCAGCCGCAGCTCCCTAACGTCTGCGCAGGCAGCAGGCCAGGGCTCACGTCCTCGGGCCCTGCGGCGTTGGTACCGTGGGCTGCAGTTGGGCCAGCTATTTGAAGAACAAAACCAGAAAACGTCCATCTTGGACCGACCGGCTCTCCTGCATTTGGTGATGCAGGGAAGAAGGGCCCTGGTGTGACGGCCCTCGTCTCAGCTGTTCTACCCGCGGGAACGCTGGCAGCGCCATGCGTGTCCAGCTGGAGAGGGCTTGCTGATCGAATTGTGTTCTTCTGCCCAGAGCATTGAAAGCCATTGAGGATGCTAATTAGGAAAGGCAGCATGAGGCAGTGTGGAAAATGTCGCTGTATAATGAGGGGTAAAAGCAGAGTTGTCGTCGTGAGGGTTCTGTTTCTGCAAGTGTGTCCAACATTCGCGTGCTTATGGGAAATGACAGAATATACATAAAAATTGTATTGCCAAATGCTGATACCCTGCTCTTGAGGTAGGAGAGAAATGAGGTCCCTGGAGCCCGTTTGACCTTTAGGAGACCGCTGAGGTCGGGCTGGGAAGCGATGAGATAAACAGGGCTGCCCTGCCCGCTGCCCGAGCCTCCGCACCTGGGCCTGGCGGCGTTGGCGGCCTGAGCTCTGCAGTGACGTCCAGGGCTGGGGCGGCCCAGGCCCTCCGCTGAGCATCAAGGCAGCTGCAGCCCCTGAGAGCGCAGGGGCCAAGGCCTGCGGGGGGCTGTCCTCGGGGCCCGGGGCTCCCCTGCACCCTCTCTAGAGGGCTGGGTGAATCTTGTGTGTCAACTCGAGCCCCTTCCCAAGAGAGCTCCTTGTGTAAATGCAAATATTCCAAAATCTGAAAAAAAAAAAAAAATCCAAGCCACTTCTGGCCATAGGCATTTTGTTTCAGTGGTTTTCTTCCTTCTAATTGTACACAGGCAAACTGCACACACGGAGTACTGAGTGATGCGTTGGTACACGTGCACATTGTGTAACGTGCAGTCGGGGTCAGACGTTTCTCTTCAGACGTTTAGCGTTTCTTCACGGTGACTCTCCGAGTTGGTGTTTTGCTTATGGAGAAACGCCCAGCACGTTGAATCATCTGCCATCACCCTGCTGTGCAGAACCCAGAACCTCACTCCTATCTCACTGTCACCTAGCAGCCGTTAGCCAACCTTTCGGCTTTTTTTTTTAATAATTTTATTTATCAATTTTTTTTTTTTTGACAGGCAGAGTGGACAGTGAGAGAGAGAGAGAGAGAGAGAAAGGTCTTCCTTTGCCGTTGGTTCACCCTCCAATGGCTGCCGTGGCTGGCGTGCTGCGGCCGGCACACCACGCTGATCTGATGGCAGGAGCCAGGTGCTTCTCCTGGTCTCCCATGGGGTGCAGGGCCCAAGTACTCGGGCCATCCTCCACTGCACTCCCTGGCCACAGCAGAGAGCTGGCCTGGAAGAGGGGCAACTGGGACAGAATCCGGCGCCCCGACCGGGACTAGAACCCGGTGTGCCAGCGCCACAAGGCGGAGGATTCGCCTAGTGAGCTGCGGCGCCGGCTTTTTTTTTTTTTTAAGAATTATTTTATTTATTTGAAAGAGTCACAGAGAGAGGTAGAGGCAGAGAGAGTGATCTTCCATTCCGCTGGTTCACTCCCCAGATGACCACAACAGCCAGAGCTGAGCTGATCCAAAACTAGGAGCCAGGAGCTTCCTCCAGGTCTCCCTTGCGGTGCAGGGGCCCAAGGACTTGGGCCATCTTTCACTGCTTTCCCAGGCCACAGCAGAGAGCTGGATCGGAAGAGAAGCAGCCAGAACTCGAACCAGCGCCCATATGGGATGCGGGCGCTGCAGGCTGGGGCCTTAACCCTCTGCGCCACAGCACCGCCCCCGTTCGGTTTGTACTTTCTAGGAATCAGCTCTCCTTGGGGCTGCACTTCTGGGAGAGATTGTGTGGTCCTTGTCTTTCTGTGCTTCGTGCTCGGCCTAGTTCACGTCGCATCCACGTCGCTGCAGGTGACATGATGTCGTCTTTTTGCATGGCCAGGTGGCACTGCGCTGTGTGTACCCCTTTTAAAGAACCCTCTCATCACCGGATGGACACTGATTGCTTCCGCCCCCTGGCTCTGGGACCAGTGCTACACTACACATGGCGTGCAGGTGTCTCTTGGACAGGCTGATGTCCCCTCCCTCGGGCGTATACCGAGGAGTGGGCCTGCCGGGCCGTGTGGGAGATGGGTTTTTTGAGGAACCTGCATGCCGTTTTCCGCAGTGGCTGTGCGGGCTCACGTGCCCACCAGTACACATCCTTGCTGATCCTTCTTCTCCTGTCTCTCTGACAGCGGTTGCTCATGCTGGTCATGGTCATGTGACGTCTCACTGCGGTTTTCTGATTTGCATTCCCCTTACGATGAGTGATGCTGAGCGTTTTTTCCACGTCTCTGTTGGCTGTTTGTACATCTTTATTGGAGAAATGGCTGGCTCTGCTGCCCAGTTTTAATGTTTGGGTTTTTTGCTTTTGAGTTTGAGTTCCTTGTATTTTCTGGGTATTAGCCCCTTGTGAGATGTATGGCTTGTAAATTTCTTCTCCCGTTCTGTAGGTTGTCTCTTCGTTGTTTGCTTTGTTCTTCAGAAGCTCTTAATTGCTTTTGAATATTTATTTATTTGAAAGTCATAGTTACAGATCAAGAAAGAGAGAGACTGGAAGACACAGTACATTTCCATCTGCTGGTTCACTCCCCAGATGCCCACAGTGGCCAGGACTGGGCGAGGCCGAAGCCAAGAGCCAGGAGCTTCATCCGGGTCTCCCACACCAGTGGCAGGGGCCCAAGCGCTTGGGCCATCTCTGCTGCTTTCCCAGGCCATTAGCAGGGAGCTGGGTTGGAAGAGGGGCAGCTGGGACAGGAAGCAGTGCCTGTGTGGGGCTGGCGCTGCCGGCGGCAGCTTACTGCCTGCCGCAGCACTGGGCCCCCAGAAGCGCTTTCGTTGGATGCAGTCTGTTTGTCTTTTTTTTGCTTTAGTTCCTGTGCTTTTGAGGTCGGATTCAGAAAATCCTTGCCCATTCCAGTGTCCCACAGGCCTTCGCCATGTCTTCTAGTGTCAGTACTTCAGGCCTTACATTCAGGTTTTTAACCCATTTGAATTTATTTTTGTATGTAGTGAGAGACGGGGTCTGGTTTCATTCTGCATGTGGACACCCAATTTTCCCAGCACTGTTTATTGAAAAGATTGTCCTTTTTCCAATGCATATCAATAGCACCTTTGTCAAAGGTCAGTTGGTGGGGCCAGTGCTGTGGCAGCTCTCTGCTTATGGCCTGGGAAAGCATGGAAGATGACCCAAGTGCTTGGGCCCCGGCACCCACGTGGGAGACCCAGAGGCTCTGGCTCCTGGCTTTGACCCAGCTCAGCTCCGGCCGTTGTGGCCATTTGGGGACTGAACCAGAGATGGAGAACCTTTCTCTCTGTCTCTTCCTCTCATGGCCTGTAACTCTACCTCTCAAATAAATAAGTGAATTATCTTAAAAAAAAAAATGAGTTGGTTGTAGATGTGTGGATTTACCTTGAGGGTCTCTGTTCTGTTCCATTGGTCTGTGGAGCTGTTTTTACACACATACTAAGCTGTTTTAATTGGTGTAGCTCTGTAATATATTTTAAAGCCAGGTAGCATAGTACCTCCTGCTTCGTTTTTTTGTTCAGGGTCTCTGGTTCTGGGGGCTTTTGTAGCCCATGGGTTTTGGAGAAGGACTACTCAGCCTGCGTCTGTTTGACGAGGTTCAGTCGTAATAGCCGACAGAAGTGCGAGTTCCTTATTCTTTGTTCTTTGAACGCCACTGTGTTCTCATGTCATGCACTGAGCTGGTACTGCCCTTTCCATCCACCTGGGTGTTGTCGGTTGTCCTGAATCATCTGACGCGACAACTGCTGCTCCAGGAAGAGTTACTCTTGCGATTTTATGACTTACTGTAAGGATCTGTAGTTTAGATTAAACATTACCAAATATGTGTGCTTTTAGAAAATAAAATGAATTTCTCACCGGAAGCATCTGCAAACAGTCCTCCTGCTTACAGAGAAGGAGTTTATGGGTCCCCCCCCCCCCCCAGTAGCAGCTGGGTTAGAAGTACATGAAAGACAGAGTATGAGAGTGAAAAGGTCTTCAGCTGGATGAGCAGAAACTGCCTGTGAGAGTGGCGGCGGCAGAGGGAGGTCGAGGGGAGCGGAGTGCGCGGTTGTGTCGTCCCGCCTGGCAGCCCCAGTGTCGCGGGGCTGACTTGGTGGCGCTGGAGGGCTCGTCACACACCTGTGCCTGATGACGCGCTCCTTCCCCCAGGGTCGGGATGGAGACGCGGGAGGGGACTCAGCTCTCCCAGCAGTGAAGGGCCGAGGCGTCGCTGGTTCAAGGGTCTCCGTGTAGGACAAGGCAGTTGTCTGGCCGGTGCCCCAGGAGCCTGGGCGCTGCTGCCTGTGTGCTCCCTGGTTGCTCCTCCCTGACCCAAGGGTGCCTCTGCAGAGCCCTACCCCCGTCCCGAGCACCCCTGCCTGGCCGCCTCTGCCGGCCGCCCTGCTCTGCCTCCCAGCTAGACACCCGGTTCTCAAAGGCTCTGCCCAAATCCTTCCCGCAAGCCTGGTTTCATTCCCTTGACTACCAGATCTCCCGGGCCACAGACCACTTCCGGATGCATCAAGCACAGTGACCATTCGCTGAGCGAGTGCCATGTGCCTGGCACTGGACTAGGTGCTCGGTGTTTAGGTCTGATTTGCAAATAGCGAGACGCACAGGCCTAGCAGGGACAGGTCAGCGTGTCGTGTCGTGATGCATGCTTCCAAGTGGCCAAAGCCCAGTTGTTTGTTTTTATAACCTCATATCAACTCAAGTAGGCAGGCGCCTTTTTTTTTTACAAGCAGAGTTAGACAGTGAAAGAAAGAGAGAGAGACAGACAGAGAGAAAGGTCTTCCTTCCGTTGGTTCACTCCCCAAGTGGCCACCACGGCCGGCGTGTTGTGGCTGGTGCACCGCGCCGATCCAAAGCCAGGAGCCAGGTGCTTCCTCCTGGCCTCCCATGCGGGTGCAGGGGCCCAAGGACCCGGGCCATCCTCCACTGCCTTCCCGGGCCACAGCAGAGAGCTGGATTGGAAGAGGAGAAACCGGCACAGAACTGGCACCCTGACCAGGACTAGAACCTGAGGTGCCAGTGCCGCAGGCAGAGGATCAGCCCAGTGAGCCGTGGCGCTGGCCTTGTGCCTTTGATAGTTGAAGAAATAGGCTGGGAAAAGTTGTCATTGGAGTAAAGTGACATGGTTAATTCATGGGGGAGCTGGGATTCCGATCCAAATTATAATTATAATCTTGATTTGACCTTTCTCATCCGAAGTCTGCCTTGGGTGCTAAGAACTCCCCACATTTGCAGCTTTGCTTGGTGCTACTGCGCTTCTATTAGAGCTGCCAACTGCAAATGGGCCTTCTCGGAGAGAGGCCTGGGGGACTGTGGAACTGGGTGGGCCAGGACAGGTTTCGGGGACAGCCTGGTCAGCTGTCCACCACCAGATCCAGCTCTCTGCCAGCACCTCCGAACTCTGCTTCCGCCGGCAGGGGCTCCACGTTAGATGCACAGCAAGGGCTTGTCGGCCACAGCCACGCACCCTCACTCACACCTGGCCGGGAAAGGAGAGGCCCGGGAGCCGGAGCCTGTGCCCCCGGCGGTGTCTCACCTCTGGGTTTCCCTGTTGGCCGATATCGCAGCTCATTATAGCCAAAGAGCCAGCGCAGAGTGTAATGACTACAGCCCCTTCGGTGGACTCGCAGGACAGCTATTTAAAGAGAGGCTCCATTCTGTTCATTTCTTTCTTTTTAAACAAATGGCTTCACTTTGCAAAGACTGCTTGGCCCTGAAGTCCAGAGAGCAGTGTACAGACTTAGGGAGGCCCCGGGAAAGACACCATCTCGCAGAACACAGGGTATCGCCGCAGCTTAGGGCACAAGGGTGGGTGCTGACAGATCCTCCCCTCCCCCTAAGAAGAGCTCCTTTGAGGTGAGATGGACAGTCCCCGCCTTGGGAAGCCTTCTCCCTGATTCTTTTTGACCCTCTGTCCTGCTTCCAGGGGATGGAGGACATCTTGCGCTGCTTCATCAAAGAAGGCAACGCCGAAATGATCCGCCAGATCGAGTTCATCATCAAGCAGCTGAACTCCGGTCAGTTCCGCGCGAGCACCTGCGTTCAGAGCGTCCCTGTGCGCCACGGAGACCCCCAGGCCTCCCCAGAGGGCTTGATCGCCGCCATCGCTCACCCGAGAGGGGAGCCAGGTTGACACAGGAGGCGAGCGGCAGTCGTGGGGCACAGGCAGACCTCTTGTGTCTCCTGTGTGCTCTTCCCGATTTGCACGTTAGCAGGAGGACTTTTAACAGAGCGAGGGGCTGGGGGAGGCAAGGGAGGATGGGCCGCCCGCCCTGTGGTGTCTGCCCGCAGGGGTCAGGACCAAGGCTGCTCAGCTGCAGGCTTCTGCAACAGGAAGCTTGGCTGCTTCGGGCTGGTGGTCAGCGACTTCCTTCCTCCCTGAGCTTAGCCCCGTCATCTGATCGGCCACGGGCGAGCAGTCAGCTCTTGTTACTCAAAATGGGACCGGCGAGGGAGGTGCGCTCTCCTACAGGGGCAGCTGTGGGGCGGCTGTCCGGGTCGGAGGGAGGAAGGGAGAGGGAGGTGTATTCAGCGTGATTCTCGCATCCTGGGAGCCATCAGGAGGCCTTTAGGGACGTGAGAAGACCCAGGTGCCCCACAGCAGCCCAGCCTGGTAGTCAGGGCGGAGGTCCAGGGGCTGACAACTTCGTACCACGCCGGAGGTGTACCGTCAGCGAAAACTGGAGCGTAAGGATGGAACCTCCCCAACCATGTCGGTCTTCTGCTTGTGGCCCCTCTTTCCTCCTCCCAGAACGAGGGCAGCCTCGCCACGGCCCTGGGACCAGATAACGGACACAGGAGCCAGAGTTTCTCGCTCCGCGGTAGGAAAGTCATCCTCCCCATCCACCCCAACCGGCAGTGTGGGAGGAGGCACTGCCACCCCCTACCTGTCTGCGTCCTGCCGCTACCATGACAACCTGCATCCCATAATAAGCAGGCAAGGAAGGCCAGGGAAGCCTTGGATGGGGCAGGCTTGGCGGGGACACCCTGGCTCTTTCTGTGGACTCACTTGCCCAAGGCCCCCGGTGCCGCCACTCCTGGGGGCCAAGTTCATTCCTTCTGCCCCTCCACACCCATCCCTGCCACCCGCAGTCCGCATCTCAAGTCCAGCGGCACACTGAGTGAAAGGCCGGATGAACCTCCCGATCTTTACTCACAAGAGCCGCTTGACCAAAGCCCAGCAAAAGAGAAGCGTCAGAAGCCCAGGGCAGCTGTGGTTCGCGGCCTGGGCTATACGGTGCGGCCACCTGTGGAGATTGACAACCCCTCTGGACAGCGCCCCACACCCCACATGGGTGGAACCAGGGCCTCCAAGAGAGGGGAGCTTTTAAAGCCACTTGTTGATACCACCGGGCAGCCAGGGTGGAGCATCCCGGCCTGGGATGCAGAAGTGAGGGCTCCTAGGAGGCAGCTGGAGGGGCAGCCAGGGCTTTGGAATCTGGTTCTGTTAGGCCCGGTGCCCATCTTGGCCTCCCGCTGTGTGGTTTTTACGGAGCAGGTGTAGGCAAGGAGCACAAGTTTGTTTGCTGCAGCAGCTTCATTTCTGGCTCTGAGCCTTGTTCTGGAAGCAAAACTCCAGCTTCCTCCTGTCTGAGGTTGTTCCCGCCCCCCTGCCTGTCTGCTCCCTCCTGCTCAGCTGAGCCCTCGCTCCCAGGCAGGGCTCCTCTGCGCCTTCGGAATCCCATCCAGGTGGGTTTCTGTGGTGCAGCCGGCTGCACTCCCCTGGCCATCGGAGGCAGGCTGCGCGGCCCCCTTTGCCTCGCAACCCAGGAGACATCTCTGTGCTGTATAAACCAGGCCCCTGGGCCCTCGTGCCAAGAAGGAGACACGTAAGGTATGTGTTAGGAAGCTGTCGTGGCAGGACCCCTCCCCCCCCCCACGCGCGCGCGCACACACACACACACACACACACACACTCGGCACAGTGAGGTGTGGGTGAGACAGAGGGTCCTCCGCACCTGCTCCCTCGGCTCAAGCATCTAAGTTATTCTGTGCGTCCAGGGACGATTACCCAGGGGTCTGCTGCTCCGGAGCGAGATTAAGAAGTCGCTGATCATTTGGATGGAGGGCCAGAGGCGCACATGCTCACACACAGCTGAATGCAGAGTGCACCCAGGAGGGGGAGCCCTGGCATGCCTTCCGTCCAGTCTTTAATTTTTAAAAAAAGATTTGTTTATTGAAAGGCTGAGTTACAGGGCCAGCGCCGTGGCTCACTTGGTTAATCCTCTGCCTGTGGCACCGGCATCCCACATGGGTGCCGGTTCTAGTCCCGGCTGCTCCTCTTCCAGTCCAGCTCTCTGCTGTGGCCCGGGAGGGCAGTGGAGGATGGCCCAAGTGCTTGGGCCCTGCACCCCATGGGAGACGAGGAGGAAGCACCTGGCTCCTGGCTTCAGATTGGTGCAGTTCCGGCTGTAGTGGCCATTTGGGGATTGAACCAACGGAAGGAAGACTTCTCTCTCTCTCTCTCTCTCTCTCTCACTCTCTCACTGTCTATAACTCTACCTGTCAAATAAATACAAAAGAAAAAAAAAAAAGAAAAAGAAGGCTGGGTTACAGGGGATGAGAGAGAGATCTCCTTCTGTCGGTTCACCCCAAATGGCTGCAATAGCAGGGGCTGTATCAACCCAAAGCCAGGAACCAGAACATTCCGTCTGGGTCTCCCACGTAGGTGGCAGGGGCCCAAGGTCTCGGGCCATCTGCATTAACCTGCCTTCTGCATTAACCGGGAGCTGAATCAGAAGTGGAGTAACCGGAACTTGAACCGGTGCCCACATGGGATGTTGGCTTCTCAGGCCACAGAGCTGGCCCCCGTGCCGTCTTCCTCCTCACATGGAAGCCGATGGCAGCATGTGGATCGGCACTGCTTTCCCAGTCTCAGACGCCACCACCATCTTTACAGGGCTGACTTTCACGTTTTGGTGAACGTGGATGCCGTGGGCTCTTCCAGTCCTGTTCCTGCAGCGCTGGATTTCCAGTGCAGTTTCAAGGTCTTTGAGTACAAAATTTCAAATGTACTTTAGAACCCTAACCCCGCAGGCGAGGGGCGCGTGCCCTGGGGAGGCCGAAAGGGGCGTTCCAGTCGGCGACGCTGGTCGAGCAGGTGCACAGGCAGCAGCGGGAGCTTTGGCTCTGGCTCCGGCACAGGCCTCACCTCCAGTGCACAGCGAGGGAAGCAGCAGGCCCTGGCTGGTCCCTGGGGAGAGGGCTGGCGCCAGCCCGGGTCCTGTCAGCGTCAGAGGGGCACCCGTGGGGTGTGCACCACGCCGGGGAACAGTGTGGACACAGCCAGCCCACCAAGGGGGTCTTCTGTCCCCAGGGCTGGGTTGTCAGGGGTGGTGGGGTGAGTCTGAGGCAGGAGATGGGAGGTTGTAGGGACAGGAAGGGGGGACCAGGCATGTGGCCGGGTACTCTGTAGCCTCACAAAATGGCCAAGAGTCTAGAGAAAGGATTCCCTGTTTGAGAACGAGAGATTCTAACTGGTGACGGTGGCTGCACCGTCATTGTGAAGGGCTCTTCCTGCCGGGGGAGTGGCGTTTGCTGTTCCGGGGCAGGGCCCAGAAGTTAGCTATTTAAACTTCAGCCAAAATGCGGAATGATGTTAACAGCCTCTTGGCTGCAGAGTTGCGTTCTGGAATGTTCCATGGATGGTATGGAGACAGTGCAAGCCCTGGCGAGGTGGAGGCCTGCCCTCTAGAATGGGCCGTCAAGGTGGGGCGGGGGGAATTCCCTCCTGGAGGTGGTTTGGTGTTTGATGAGACGCAGGCGCAGCTGCAGCCTCTCCGCGCGTGGCCTCTGGTTCCCTCCTTCCCTGCTTCCTGCTTGATCTCCTCCTTTCAGGTCATCCATCCGGCAGCTGCGTGCTGGTTAGGGTGGAGCAGGGACACAGGCGAGGAAGCCAGGGCCTGTCCCCGGGGCTCGGTCAGCACCGCGGGCGAGAGAGGCGCTAGGCGACGCAGTGAGCACCCACGAGTGGGGAGCCCGTCGGGCTGAGTGTGCCAGCGAGGGAGGGAGGGCCGCTCAGCGGGGACTGGGGAGGCTTCATGGAGGAGGAGGCCACCGCTGTGTGCCTGGCCCCCTGCACCGCGCAGTCCTCCCAGCAGCCCTGGGGAGAGGTAGTGTGAGCCCCACTGGGCTCCGTGTGAACCCTCAAGTCCCAGCGAGAGCCACAGCCTTCAGGAAGCTTTCCTGCCGCGACACAGGGCGGTCCCGGGCCTCCGCTCTGCGCCGCCGAGTGGCAGGTGGCCGTAAGGAGCCCGCGCACTACACCTGTGGCGTGTTAGCCAGCGGGGTGCCGCTTGCTTTCCATCTCCTGCCGTCCCTGGGCCACTCTGCTGGTCCCGTGCTGCGCCAAGTGTGTTCAGATAAAATGGAGACAGAGCTGCTTAGGAGGAGGCCCAGCTGTGGCTGAAATGCTGCGATTAGGAGCGGGTAGGAGAGGGCGGGCCCCCACGTGACCTCCCTCGCCGTGGTGCCCCCACCCCACCGTGACCTCCCTCCCACCGTGACGCTTCCCCGTCTGCCCGTGGCCGTGCACTGCTGTGTCGGAAGCGGGTCACTGACTTTGTTTTCTTTACAGAAGAGCTGCTGGATGGCGTGCTTGAGTCGGACGACGATGAAGAAGAGGAAGAAGAAGTAAGTCTTGGCTCTTGGCTCGGCACCTCCTAGAAGTCTCCTGCCAGACAGTCCTGAGGCTCTTTCCTGCCCCAAGTTGGTTGGGAAGGGGTTTTGAGTTCCTGCTGCGTTTTTGGGCCCGGTTCTGGGGGCGGCCGACGCTCCGCTGGGCGGGGGTCCTGCGCCTCCCTCCGTGTGCACGCTGGCCCTCGCTCTCCCTGTGGGCAGCCGGGCTCCGAGAGGGAAGCCACTCAGAAGTCCCAGAACGTGGCCTGTGCCGCGTCCCGCGCGGAGCCCGTGGACGGGGCAGCCCAGCGCGCGGCACTTGCTGCGCCTTGTGATGGAAGGGGGAGGCAGGGCGCAGGGTTGGGGGGGGAGCGTTAATGGACGCGCACGCTAGCAGAGATGGCTGCTCCGAGGTCGTCGTCTTTGCACGAGGACGAGCCCAGACGGGAGACAGACGGCAGCGGCAGGTGTACCAGGCCAGTTTAGTGAAGAGAAGTAAAGAAGACAGTGCACCTGCCAGGCCATCGGCCAGGCGCAGTCTCCACTCAGCCCGGAGTTGTCAGGGATGGGGGGGGGGGGGCTGTTTCTTCCCCCTCCTCCCTCTTCTGAGAATTCCTGGGTGGAGGTTTTCTGGATGCAGCCTTCAGAAAATGCGGCGTTATCAGACCTAACAGCCCCCTCCACCGCAGGGAGAGGGCTGGGGCCGGGGACCAGGGTCTCTGCACGAGAGCCGGGACTTCAGGGAGCAGCCGCTCTGCCTTCGGCCTCCTCTCGTGCCGTTGCACACAGCTGTGTTTTCCCTATAAATTCCCATTTCCTCGTCCCCTGTCATGCACAGGCCGACATCCACCCGCGGCCCACACCTTAGACTGCATGTGCGGCTGCTTGTAGGGAAGTTGAGCATGGCAGTTTCCACCACGAGCGGCCCCTCCTGGGAGGGAAATGTGGCGATGTGGGCTGCTGGGCTGGGGCCGCCCAGACCGCGGGCTGCATCGCTCTGCTCCTTCCCTCCGCCGTGAGAGCCCCGTTCACCTGTGCTGGCTGTGAAGGGCCAGGCGTGGGCCACAGCTCCCTCACCGGCTGGACCGCACGGCCTTCCTCGAGAACAGTCGCTGGTCTTCCTGGCTCCCCCGGCTCCCCCTGCCGCGGGCTCGGGGGCAGGAGGACAGGCTCATGCGGGTGGGTGTCCAGTGATGGCCTCAGCTGGGGACAGAGTTGTCCCAGAGCCCCCACGGAGAGGACACGCTGGGAGGTGCCCTGTGACTGCCTCCTTGCCTGCCATTCTCCTCCCGAGCTGTAGGTGGCAGCAGCGGGCGCTCCTCCTGCCTTGCCGTGTGGCATGGAACTTGACCTGCAGGCCTGGGTGCCTTAGGAGCAGAGGGCATGCCGCGGGGCTGTGCTCAGCCCTGCGCTGCCCACACGGGCCACCATCCACGGCGCCTAGCTGGGTGGATGCCGCAGGGTTCCCAGAGAGCCATCTGTGCACATAAACTTGAATTTCATACAGTTGTCCTGTCACCAGGTTTTCTTTTTCCCCAAATATTTAGGCATTAAAAAATCCTTCTGAAGCTGCAGCACACAGAAGCAGGTGGCTGGGCCCCCGGGGTCCTCAGGCTGTCTGCAACAGGACAGCGGCTTTGTGCCCGGCCTCCCACGCTCCCCGAATTCCGCAGGCGCTATCGATGTCATCACTGACCCCAGTAACTTTCTCCTACCGCGTGCTCTGGGCCGGTTTCTGCCTCTTCAGTAGCTTTGGTTTTAGCTCCTTTTTTGCTACTCATCCCTTTGATTTGGATCCCGAGGGAACTTTGATTGGACGCAGGTGTTCTGGTTAATAAGCTTCCAGCTTCCAGAAAGCTCCCTCTGGACGTGACTGTGGTCTGTTAGAAGCAGACATGCTGAGGTCTCCCATTGCTTTTCTGGGCTTTTTACTACTGTGTGCAGATTTTTATTTTAAGAGCTTGATGTTTGAAAATGTTTGAAAAGACCCCGGAGAGAAGGCGAGTGGGAAATTATCAGGAAAGGGTCTGTCACCTTGGGCGAAAAATGACTGTGGTGAGCTCAGGGGAGCAGGTGGTGGGCACACCCTCCCCCGTGGTCCTCACAGGGCCCTGCAGAGCACCCGGGAGGCCACGCTGGTTATGTCCGTGTTTTTCTCAGCTTTCATTCACCAGGAGCAGACGTGACTTTTATCATTGTCTTTTTTTAAAATCAATTTATTTATTTGAAAGGCAGAGTTAGAGGGAGAAGCAGAGAGAGAGAGAGAGGTGTTTCATCCACTGGTTCACTCCCCAAGTGGTCGCAAAGGCTACAGCTCGTCTGGTCCAAAGCCAGGAGCTGCTTCCAGGTCTCCCACGTGGGTGCAGGGGCCCAAGGACTTGGACCATCTTCCACTGCTTTTCCAGGCACATTACCAGGGAGCTGGACCGGAAGTGGAACAACCAGGGCTTGAACCAGTGCCCAAATGGGATGCTGGCACTGCAGGTGGCAGCTTTACCCACTACACCACAGTGCTGGCCCCATCATTATCTTTTTTTTAATTTTTTTTTAATTTTTATTTTTTTAACAGGCAGAGTTAGTGAGAGAGAGAGACAGAGAGAAAGGTCTTCCTTCTGTTGGTTCACCCCCAAAATGGCAGCTACGGCCGGCGCGCTGCGCCGATCAGGAGCCAGGTGCTTCCTCCTTGTCTCCCAAGCAGGTGCAGGGCCCAAGCACTTGGGCCATCCTCCACTGCCTTCCCGGGCCACAGCAGAGAGCTGGACTGGAAGAGGAGCAACCGGGACTAGAACCCGGGGTGCTGGCGCCTCAGGCAGAGCATTAGTCTAGTGAGCTGTGGCGCCGGCCCCTATCATCATCTTTTAAAATAGGAGAGGAAGGGCCCGGCGTTGTGGCATAGCAGGCAAAGCCACCGCTTGTGAGGCTGGCGTGGCCTCTGCTGCACCCACATGGGAGGCCCAGTAGAGGCTCGGGGGTCTTGGCTTCAGATTAGCACAGCTCCAGTTGCAGCCATTTGGGGAGTGGGTGGAAGACTCCCTCCCTCCCTCCCTCCCTCTCTCAACTCTGCCTTTCAAATAAATAAATAAATATTTTTAATTAAATGAAATTGGAGGGGAAGTGAAAGCGGCAGACACTGAAGCCAGAGGAAGGTTTCCCAGGCGCGCGGTGTCACCCCAAGGCGCCCACGCTGAGGGAGGCAGCAGAGTGACCGCCAGGCCCAGAGTCCTCCTTCGTCTTGCTTAGCAGTGCAAAAATGTGAACTTAATAGTTCAACCCCAAACAGGGGTTTTCAGGTATCTGCTGAGTGACCGCAGGGGGAGTGGCCCTGTGGGGTGGGGCCTGCGGCCAGGGTAAAGGAGCCAGCTCTGCCTCCCGCTGAGCCAGAATCCCGGCTTCGGCTCCGGCTTCCGGGCCTGCTCCCTGGAAACTCTCCCGCGACTCGGGATGCAAGGTCTTGTTTTCTCATTTGTGCTGACTCCATCCAGTGGGTTCCAGCCGAGCTTCGAGTGTGCGTACACGTGTTTGTGTGCTGAGGGAGAGCAGTTTTACAGGGGGAGCCAGAGGTATGTCCGGAGAATTTAACCAGAAACGCAGCAAGGAAATTGTAACGTGAAATGAGCAGCGTTTGAGAGAAAGCAAACAAATAAACACGCGGGTGTTACAGGTGCGCTTGTGTGTCCAGGGAGCGGAAAGGTGTGGAAGGTTACGCCCTTTTTTGTTAACAGCAGGACCTGTGAGGGGGCGTCGGAATGAGGAAGTGTGGGTGAGCAGTGGTGGGAGCCTGCTCACGCTGGGCTGGAGGTCCCCCAGCACGAGGGCGGGCAGCACGGGCGCTGGATGGAGCGGCCGGAGGCCAGTGGCTGCACATCTCTGTGCACTGACGGGGCAAGAGCCAGGCTGGAGGTGGGAAGTGAGAGATGCGCCCGTCTCTGCCCGGGCAGCCGTGCAGGACAGGGCAGCTCCGTTGTGACTGTAGGCTTTGAGATGGGAGAGACCCAAGCCTTCCTTAAGTGGCGCTGGGGAAGGGGGGAGGTGCCGTGGCACAACCTGTAATGTTGCCGCCTGCAGTGCCAGCATCCCGTGTGGGCACTGGTTCAAGTCCCGCTGCTCCACTTCCGATCCAGCTCCCTGCTGATGTGCCTGGGAAGACAGTGGAGGAAGGCCCAGCCCCTGCATCCACAGGAGAGACTCTGAAGAAGCTCCTGGCTCCTGGCTTCATCCTGGCCCAGCCGTTGTGGCCATTTGGGGAGTGAACCAGTGGATGGAAGATCTCTTTCTCCCCCCTTCCCCCGCCACGCTCTGACTTTCAATAAATAAATACATCTTTAGAAGAAATAAGTAACGGTGCTGGGAAGGCTCAAGCTGAGGGGGCTGGGGGACAGCCAGGGGCGGAGGAGGCGTTGGCATCTGCAGGACAGGTGCCTGCGTCATTTCCTGACCCCGGACCCAAGCACACCTCCAGAGAAACGAACCTGTCCTTAGACGAGCGTGGCCAGTACACGGGAGGGTGTGCTAGCAGCTGCCCCGCGTGTGCCAGGGCCCCTGGCACTTTGAAGAACTGTGTTCTTGTGTGCAGGTTCTTTTTCTATTAAGCATCTGAGGGTACTTGAGAAAGTTTGTGGAGAATGGATTTAAGGATGTTTGTTTTAGTGCAGAAAATCTTTGAAATCTGCGTACAAGGCATCTTCAAAAAGTTTGTAGAAAATGGTATAAAAGCCTGTGCATAGTGATGTCCCATCTTTTAGTTCTGATTTTGGTAATTCGAGTCTTTTTTTAATATTTATTTATTTATTTATTTGAAAGGCAGAGTTAGAGAGGAGAGGCAGACAGAGAGAGGTCTTTCACCTGCTGGTTCACTCCCCAGATGGCCATAACAACGAGAGCTATGCTGAGCTGAAGGCAAGAGTCAGGAGCTTCTTCCGGGTCTCCCACACGGGTGCAGGGGCCCAAGCACTGGGGCCATCTTCTTCTGCTTTCCCAGGCCACAGCAGAGAGCTGGATCAGAAGTGGAGCAGCCG